GATTGATTGATAAGGAGAAAGAGATGATAAATGATGAGATAGATAGATAGATAGATAGATAGATAGATAGATGATAGATAGATAGATAGATGTAAATATATATATAGAGAGAGCTATGATAGATGGATTAGATAGTAGTATAGTCTTTATTGTCATTGTACAAAATAAATACTATGAAATTGGCTAGAGAGATAGATAATAAATTGATAGATAGATGATAGATATAAATCATAAAGAAATAATAGAATCAGATGATAAAGAGTTATGACAAGTGATTAGACCTACTGGTTTAATCCTCTCTCAAAACCTCCTCCACGTTTTGCTCTGTACTTTGTGCAAATCACTGCAAGTTGTCCAGGCAAAGTAGGCCTGAGTTTTAACAGTACACATTTTGCCTATTAAAAATAACTTTCCCGGAGAGTGGTTGTGACCTGCAGTTTGGGAAGCCATGCACAAAGCTATAATGTGGTTTGTCTAGTTTTAGCTTAACTGGAAATGGGAGCTAAAAGATTATAGAGGTCCATTAAAGTATACAGTGATCTGTTTGGCTTCAACTTAGCATGTTGTGTGTGTGTACACAACTATGGTGGCTTTTTAAATGGCTTCTGCCTTAGCCTTGATGGTTTAACTCTTTTCCCCCTGGGAAATCTCTTGTGTTTGATAGGCCTGCTAGCCAATGTTGCAAATCATTGCTCCATGCCATTTTGCCTTGGTGCAGGTTTGGTAATGATGCCCTCAGAATCAGGTGGAGACAGATAGTTGGCATAAAAGCTTATTTGTTTATTTCTGTTGTTAGATGTTAAGTGCTTGACTCAAAATTACTCTGGGTGACTCACATTATCAAACAGAAATAAAGAAGAACACGATAAACTATAAATAACTGAAATGGAACTCAAAACAGAACATTTGCAAAAATTTATCTGACAAGAATAAACATGTCTCCAAGGCCTTCTGGAATGGCATTAGGCAGAGAGCCACACAGATCTCAAAGGGTATCTTATTCCAGAGGGTAGATTCTTGAACCAGGAGGGGTGTGTGTTTTTCTGGGGTTGTATCAAAATAGCTTCCTTCTCGCTATCTCATTTTTCTTCAGAGTCCTCCATTTCATCTTTTTTCTTCTTCTTTTTCCTATGTTTTTATTTTATTTATTTTGTCAAGCATGTATAAGATAACAAATATAAGTATAAGCATGATTATGAATACAGGACATGGATAGGAATAAGTGGGGACAGTAGGACAAGGACAGTAGACACGTTGGTGCGCTTATGCACAGCCCCTTCAGACCTCTTAGGAATGGGGAGAAGTCAACAGTACACAGTGTAAGGTTAAAGTTATGGGGCTTTGGGGTTTGCAACTTTGAGTTGGGCCAAATTTGAAATGGCTTGGACTCCATCTCATTTCCATTCCAATTTTACTCAACAGTCCTCAAGGGGGAAAAGAAGAGATTCCAAAAGTATGCCCCATAAAAATACCCCACATAGCTAAGTGCCAAATAACAATGAGAGAGTAAGCTTGGTGTGGCAATTAAGTTTCTGGGTAATAACCAGAGGACTGTGACTTTTAATCCGGCCTTAGGCACAAAGCAAGTTGGGTAACTAAATCAATCACTTTCTCCCAGTCCCAGAAAGAAGGCAATGGCAAACAATTTCTGAAAAACCTTGTCAAGAAAATTGCAAGAACCTATCCAGCAAATCTCAAAGCAGACACAACTGAATAGAAAACAAGAATCTAATTATGTATCTTCCCACTAACTATAAAACTTAATTGCAAATCTGGAAGGCCAGGAGAACATGGTATGTGAGATCTACAGCCTTGCTACTGGTATTATCACTCTATAGCAGGGGTGTGGGCAACTATGGCAATGTTATGGCCTGTAGACTTCAGCTCCCAGAATTCCTGAAGTAGCAGAGTGGCTTGTGAATTCTGAGAGTTGAAGTCTGAAAATTGAATTCTGGGAGTTGAAATCCATAGGTTGAATTCTGGGAGTTAAAGTCCACAGGTCATAAAGTTGCCATTGTTGTCCACCTTTGGTAAAAGAGTTTTTCTTTTTAAAAACAAGAATAGGGACTGGAAAGACACAACATTTCAGTTATTCAGTTAGTAAAAACACCTAAAACTCTAGTGGGAGTTTTACGTATATGCCAAACATCTAACTGTCATCTATGAGACCTAATTCATGTCCTATCTGTTAAATGAATGCTTCTTGCCTATTTTTGATGGTACCCTGCCTTAGCCTTTCTTTTGACATCTGCTATTTGCATCTTCTCCAGATGTTTTCTATTAAGGAACTAGCAATGGGGTTAGGATTACAGAAGAGGTAAATTGAGCATCACCACTCAACTGTAACTTCATTAAGAGAAACAAATAATTTTTGAAATAAATAAGTGGTTCTTGCCCATATCTAATGACACCTGCTGGATGTACTAATTGGCATCAACTTTAACTGTACAAAAAGCATAATTTTACCTTTATAAAAATGAATCAGTTCAGACTGGAGCAAGGGGAAAATAGAATCTGCAACCAGAAAATGCCTTTTTATACATCAGTACAAAGTCTCCTTCTAGCCAGTTTAGACACCAATCCATGTCTTAAACGACTTAACCCTGCTTATCTTCTGAACTCAAATAAGGTCAGCCAGCTGCGTCTGTTTGTAGACAACAGGCTCAATGAAAGTTATATACAAGACTTTGTAGGCTGTAAAGTCTTAGTGCTAATAAAGGCACGATCCAACAATTGCTAGTATTTTTATCAACTTGAGAATGTACAAATCTATTTTTATTTATCAAATTTTGAAACCACCCGTCTCCCTCACAGAAAAACTCTGGGCAGTGTACAAATAAAATATGATGATGTCGAACAGTGCCTAAAAGTTAAAATTTAAAAATTTGCAACCCGATTCAAGTGTGTCAGATGTCATGTGAAGAATCTGTCCCACTGGTTCGTCACCCTGTATGTGTATTTTAATATAACACAGGCTAGTTAAGACAGGTAACTGGTTTGCTTTCTTTTTTCTCTGCCTTGAGACTTTCCACAGCTATTTATAAAAAACAAACAAATGGCAAAGCTGAACACAGGAGTGAGTAAATGGAATGTGTTAGGTCCCTTTCTCCATTCAGTGTTGATTTTGTATTTTTGAAGATATTCCAAAATACTTCAAGGGAGAGTGCTTAAAAAAAGGCATTTTGCTGATACATGCCAGGGCTCTTAAATTACTAGTTTTTAGGAAATGATCTCACTATTTGCTTTACCCAACTGACACTACAACATGATTAATATAGAATGCTACTTTAAAGAAGCTTCTGTGGGCCTTTCATGTATTATTTTGAATAGTAGTAAACAAGGCTACTTGCTTTTTTTTAAATTCAATTCAGCTACTGTCGTTTCAAGTTAAAGAGAGCAATTTGTAACAGAAGAATAAGCTAGCTGAATACTGATGCCCAATCAGCAATTCTGAGATATAATGCTACAGTAGAGAGAATTGCATATTGGCGACATAGAATCCTGAGTTTAATGAAGCCATGGAAACCAGGACAGATTGATTACCCTGGCCATTGTCCTAAACTGCGGTTCAGCTGTAGACCCATTCCATGCTCACATTTACTTGTAGTTGATTTGGGGGGTTGGGGATGCAAGTGTAAAGTGATACAGATAGTCCTCAACTTATGTTAATTGGGACCAGAACTTTTGTTGCTAAGTGATGTGGTTCTTAAAAGACTGTGCCCAATTTTATAACCTTTTTTGCTGTGCTCTTTTAGCAAACCATGCATTAATTAAACAAATTCAGTTTCTCTGAAGGACTTTGCTTGTCAGAAGCTGGCTGGGAAGGACACAAATGGTAATCATGTGACCACAGGACCCTGCAACCATTGTAAATACATGCCGGTTGCCTAACACCCAAATTATGAACATGTGACAGTGAGGATGCTGCAATGATTATAAGTGCAAGGAATTAAGTCACTCTTTCCAGCACCGAAATGGGACAACTCATCACAGTCAACTTGCTATGGCCAACTTGCTGCGGGACAACACACCATGGCCAACTCATTACAGGACAACTTGCTATAGGATAATTTAACTATTCAATTTAAAATAAATAAAAAAATATTTTAATTTTTGTCATTTACATTTTATTCTATCCCTTTTTTTTCATCCTTTAATGATTCAATTCCACCATTTCTTTGATATAAGTGTAACTTTTGTACCACAGTGAGTTGTCCCACTGTCCCAATGAGTTGGCCATAGTGAGTTGATCCACAGCGAATTGGCGGTGGCAAGTTGGCCACGGTGAGTTGGCCACAGTGAATTGTCATAGACTCTTCCAGCACTGTTATAATTTCAAACAGTTGCTAAATGAATGTCTTAAGTCAAGAACTACCTGCACCAAACAAGAGCACCAGTGTTAGGTTCATACATACAGCAAAGTAATATCAAGGACTGCTATGTACATATAGCATATGGCTTCCTATTGTTAATGAACATACATTGCTTAGAATAGATAACTTGTCAAGGTTTTGTTATACTGCCTTCTTTTTCATACATAGAGTTGGGAAGCTTAAAGAGGATAGTATAGTGCCACCGTATTTGAATCAAAAATCAGACAAGGATTTTTCGTACTAAAATAATATTTTATTTGATTTAAAAAATGTATATACTGATTTAGATCTTTAAGTATAAAAGTGCCAAAATAATTAGTTGCCGTCACAGACTTGGACATTTCACAACACTATATACATATACACAGGTATGTAACAGAAATTTTTTTTAATCAAATATTCAGAAATATGCAATTATCAAGAAGCACTTGATAATTGCAATAAGCACTTATCCAAATTATAATAAATCTACTAGTAGTTTTATAATAATAATAATAAAAATAATAGTAGTAGTAACTCAATGTATATGAAGGCCAGCACCAGCTAAAGAACTGGTAACTGTGAGTTCACATTGTTATGTACATAAAACTGTTATGTATATTATAATGTAACTATAACAGTAAGAAAAAATGTAATTAAGATGGGCTCTCCATTGTTATCAAATCCTATTTCCCCAAATTTATTAAACTTGCTTTTTTATCCTTTTAGATAAAATAAAACCTCAGGTTTTATGACATAATTGCTTAATAGGCCCATTGCAATGCTACATGTCAAGCATTTAAGATTGTTGATTTTATGCAACAAATTGGAATTGTACATATTCATAATTTACCTATTAAACTCAATCAGATTTTACTTGAGCTAAATCTTGTTACTGTTGAAATTTGAACTCCCCAGAGAATCTGTCCATATAATTTGAATGCCATCCATGATTAAGTCAAATGCTCTTTATATTAATTCTGATCATTTTCATAGGACTGCTGTGATCAAAGATCCACAAAGTAGTCTTCAGAGATATTCAAACATACAAAGATGGAAGACAATATCTGCAATATCTGTTAACTGGCCTTTATATCTTTGGAGAAAATGCAGGAATATTTTCTTTGCAGGTACAAATATTAAACTGAAAAAAAAAATCACAGCAATTTGCCCTCTTGCAGCTAATTGCCATTTTGACTCATATGTAGCATGATATTTACAAAATGTGGTCCTCAGGAATGGTGAGAAGAGCTTCCTGCATGGCACACCAACCAATATCTTCCTTCATTTGATTATGTTTGCCAAAGGATTGCTTGTTTTCATTAGACTATTCTTAAGAATTCTGTGTGGGCAGTTCATACTTCCTTATACTAGAATTCTTGAAAGAATCTCTGAAATGAATAACAATTATAAAATAATTTTAAAATGTGAAAATGGAAATGTGTGGACAGAAATTTTAAAAAGACAATGAAAGAACATTCATACTGCATATAAAGACAGTAGTTCCTTGGTGACAGTAGATGGAGAAAAAAATATGCTATTCCCTTGAAGCAGAATTAATATACTTCTGAGAAGTACTTATTATTCAATATACTCCTTGTTTTATTATTATATGACTGATTACATAGCAATATATTACTGTGACATATTTATATAGTGCACCATATTTATATAGTGCACCATATAGAAACAACTGGAAGAAAAGACATGATCTATTCAAATATTGAATTCTATGTTCATATCCTCAAAATCCAGATGATTTTTGCCTCTATAGAAATGTAAAAATAGAAACACAAACCAGGCAAAAAAATAATTTGGGGAAAACATCAATAGGCTTTGGCTTTTTGCATTTTTTAAAATCTAAGCTAATTCTTTAAAAGCACAACTTCTTTTCAATTTAGAAATAATTGAATTATATTGGCTGTATCTCAAAGATACATTTTGGCTTGGATGGAGACAGGATATATTCTCTGTGTAGCAATTGTAATTTAAATCAGGAACAGGTTAAAGTTTCTTTTCTGCATTATAAGGATTATCTCAGTTTATTGTGCAAATCTAATTTTATTAAGGCACTATATAACAATTCTGATGACTTGATCCTGACTGGATGCTCCTCACTCTCATGTAACACATTTTTGATGTAGTCAGCATCTGAAATACAGTATTGTTTTAATACCTTGAAATACTGTTACATTTCACAAGAGGTTTATATAGCTCTGGGATTTTCCTCCTAATCATTGGTCTGAGGCTGTTCGCTAATTTCTCATAGTTCTTTTTCAGTTCCTTATGATATTCTTTTTGCTCAGGGGTAATCAGGTGCCGGTTTTTTTCCAGTGCTTCTCCACACCTGTTGATCAAATAATGGAAAAAAACATTACTTGTTGATGGGTTACACTTAAGCCATGTGTAGTAATATCAAACCCTTGACCAGGTTATGTATATTAGTGACCTTGTTCTGAAAAAGTAGGATGGGGAAAGATGAATATTATGAAGTAGCCTACTTCTTATGTCACAGAGACAATCTCATTATTACTTTTCCTTCTATAAATGTAGAAATATGCTTTATCAATTATTATTCTATAATGCAGTGGAGATCCTGTGACTTTTTATTTGTTAGATGTATGCCCTCCCACCTTTTCTGTAGAAGCTTAAGGCCACCACTATGAGGCTATTTCTTCATTTCATCTCCATAACAATAAGCCAGGAGGTTCATTGGATTGAATGATTAGCACTCATTAGGAAGCCCTCTCACACCCAGATCTGCTAGTACAGACCCACTCAGGGTAATTACAAGATTAACTCATTTCTCTGTCCTCTTTACTTACCTCATTATAAACTCTTTGAAGCATAATCTCAGTTTGTTGTGATGTCGGTAAAGTTTTGGATCATCTGGAATCTCCGCCAGAAACACTTGGGCTACCTCTAGTGGTCCCTTATTAAAATAACATTTTACTGTATTAGGGAACTACATTTTATTGTTAACTATAGAAATATTAGCATGTAACATCCAGTAGAAGAACCAAAATGAACTTTCAGGGAATTTCAGGTGCAACTGAATGGGGCAAAATAAAAAGATAATAAGCATCAAGAATCTACTGAATGGTAGCAAAATTGTAAAACTGGTAACCTAGATCAGAAAGTGAATGCCAATAGATTATACAGCTGGTAGAATCATTGCATGATGTGAGCAACAATGAAAAACCTAAGTTTATTTCCAGAATGGGCATGTGCACATATAATTATGACATTTTTGTCATTATTGTTTTTCCAATATGCCAGTAAGGCTGAACAAAAAGTACTCTGCAAAGCATAGGTATTTCATTATTTATCCTTATGTACCTGGTTAACAGTAGCTCCTACAGAACCTTGAAGGACCATCTGGAGCATTTTGGCATCTGGAGGCACTTGGTTGGTGGCAACTGCTAGCTCAAGGGTTTTCTTTTGCATGTCTTCAATTGCTACTTCAATTGGCGTCAACACATACTGAAATCAAAGATAGCCCATTCATTTTTTAAAAAAGGCAAACATTAATAAAATAAAAGTCTGGAAGACAAGCATAGGGCCACAGAGTGGGGACGGTCATATCACACATGTACCCTGAAGCCGGGTGGGTGGGTTGGTGGGTGGGTTTCCCACCAAGAATATGAGAGATTTACTTTGTGTTATCTCTAATACCATTTTAAGGACTTGAGTACAATATCTTGTCTGCAAAGATTACTTAGTAAATGGCAACAATGATCCAGGATTTTCTGTATGTCTCTTTTGCCATTTAGGGATCCTTAGCATTTTTGCAGTCTAGGTATTGTAGCCTATACGCCAGAGGTGGGTTCCTACCAGTTCGCACCTATTCGGTAGAACCAGTTCGTCAAATCTACCAAACCGATTAGAAGAGGTTCCACCAGTGGACCCGGAAAGCAGGCCAAACCTACAGAAGAGGTTCCAAAAATTTTTGAAACCCATCACTGCTATACGCCATGAAGGTGAAACACTTTATAGTTTTAATAGTTTTTCCTGGTCTGAAAACTGTATCTTCAGCAATTGCGAACAGAGATAACTCCAAAAGTAGGGAAAAGGGGACTGAACAGCCCAATACAACTCTGAAGCTACAGATTCACTGCTCCTTCTTAAGATACATGCATTACCTCTTCCTTTTGAATTACATTGATTCGAGTTTTGATATAAGGAAAAGCATGCATTGTGGTCAAAATGGTCTTCCTCGTATATTGTTCACTCAGTTCTCCCCGTGGACTTCCATCCTGCGTAAAAGGGGTGGTGTACATAAAACGTCGAAGATCAAAGTTTTTCTCAAAGTGGGTTACTCTGTCTTTCATCTCATAGTCATCAAAGTATGGTTCCACAAAAGTAATCTGTATATAGGCCTGGGGAAAAGGTAAAGTCAGTAAGTCTTATGTGTTAATTATTACTATGATTCATCACACAGTCAGCTAGATATTTAGACTGGATTTGAGATTTTTATCCATCTTTGGAGTCCTTCCGAAGGATCAGAGACTGGCAGGTGTTGTTTGATGGTGCTGAAGCAGTGATGAAATCTATTTTTTTTGCCCACTGATTCTGTGGCCGTGGCTTGGTGGTGGTGGGTCATGTGACTGGGTGGGTGTGGCCAACTTTTTTTCATTTTTTAAAGCATTTTTTTCCTGCCGGTTTGGGCGAATAGGCAGGGAAAAAATGCTTTAAAAAATGGGGAGGAAAGCTTCCGACGATTGCGCAGTTAACAGCTGAGCTGCGCAATCCTTGGAACCCTTTTTTTTTACTATCAGTTCGTACCGGTTCCTACCGGTTGTCCCTACCGGTTCGGCTGAACCGGGCTGAACTGGGAGGATTTCACCTTTGTGCTGAAGCTATTGTCACAGGATGTAATTATTATTATTTGGGGTCTTCACCTCAGTATTGCTGCCTGGTTACTGCCTGGAGTTGTCCCTGCTTAATTTTAGCAAGGTTTTTCAGAAGTAGTTTGCTTCCTGGGCGGGGTGGTGGTGGTGGAGAGAGAGAGATGGCCCAAGATAACTCTCTTGGCTTCATGCCCAAAGTGGGACTACAACTCACAGTCTCTTGTTTTCCAATGTGATGCCTTAACTGCTGCACCAAGTAGAGCCTTGTAGATTAATTAATATCAAGTTTAAGCTAAAGAGAATCACACATGGAGAAGAGAAGGTATTTGTTGTACTTGTTCTGGACTCTATTCTTATTTAGTTGACATACATTAGCAATCCAGCACCCACCGTGCAAGATTGGATCTTGCAAAACTACTTGCAAGACTGAACTCCAGCCTCTCTCTGTCATACAATCCTGGGAGGTTCACCGCAGGCATTTGGATCCTGCAAGACTGTGCTGGTGCCTTCCCAGACTCTGCTGGCTTTTCATTTGGACAAACTTCTTGTCTTAATTTAGGTTCAGACTTAAGGGGCTTTTAAAAAGATTTTTAACTGTAAAGTTAGAAGTAATGTTACCATACCTTTCTGGGATCTAACTTCTTTTTTTCGACAGGAATAGAGTCTTTGATCACAACAATGCGATCTTCTCCAAAGCATTGACCATAAAATCCCTGAGAAGGAAACAAAATCATGAGTATAGGTAATACTTACACACACACATCTACAAAATTAGTCAAGTGATAGGAATGACAAGTGATAAGTCAAGTGCAATTTAAGGTGCTATTTTTGACCTTTAACGTCCTACATGACATGGATCCAGACTATTTGAGGGACCACTACTCTCCGATTGCCTGAACACATCTCATCATATCCAGTAGGAGAGACGAATGATACCTAGGAGATGAATCTTGTCTGCTGTAGCATCTCTCCTTTAGAACTTCAGAGACCTGTGGTGGCATAATGGTTAGAATGCAATACTGCAGTCTACTGCTGACTGCCAGCTGCCAGCAGTTTGACAGTTTGATTCTCATTGGCTCAAGGTTGACTCAACCTTCCATCCTTCGGAGGTGGGTAAAATGAGGGCTCAGATTTTGGGGGGCAATGTGCTGACTCTGCAAACCATTTAGAGAGGACTGTAAAGCATTATGAAGCAGTATATAAGTCTGTGCTATTGCTACTGAGGTGAAGTTAGCCCCAATCCTTATGGCTTTTTGAAAAGCTCTCAAACATGTTTTTTTTTTCATCAGGCTGGGGATTCTGTAGCAACAAGATGATCATTCATTGGCTGGTTAAATTTCTGTTGTGAAATTAGGCTGCTAATTTTATCATTGCTGCATATTGTCCAAGTATAAGTTTCCAGGAACTGTCTAACAAACTGAACCTCCTTTTCTTAGCAGTGATCTAAAATTCTAAATCATCCACTTTCTCTTTTCATACTATCCATTTCCATTTGCTTGTCAGTCACCGAGTCTCTTAATACACCATTTTTCTCACCTCCTATCACTCAAGCATCCTCTCAATCCTCTGCTACAAATCCCCCAAAAGGTCAGAATTCCTCTGCAGAATCACAATCAAGCAGGCACAACCAAAAGACCAATTTGGAAGAACAATAACTCTGTCAAACAAATTTGTAAATCTTAAATGCTAGAATACTGCAATGTTTTGTCAAAGTGCTTGGTTTTCCCATATAAAATGATCCTCATTCTCACAATTCAAACACATATTTCTGCCATTCATTAATTATAAGTTCCTAACTTTCATTTTAAATCCTGAAGCTCTGAACAAAATCCATGAGGTTTTATTGGTTTTGTTTTGGTAGAAATTGTTCCTTTAGTCTCATAAGGTAAAGAAGTCAAGGAGTAAGGGGGTAAAGGAGTGAGGACTAATTCATCTGATATAAAAAGTTAATGTATCCAGTTTCCCTTGAAAGGCTCACTAATTTTACAGGGAAATGTTTTCATATTAAAAAAAATGTATCCACTGTATCCTCTTTCATATTTCCCTTTTTTTATTGCATTCTAAACTTTTCTACTGCTATAGTTCCCCTTATTTATATGACAACTCCTTATTTAAATGACAAATGGTAACAAGAGGTAACTAGAAAGCAATGGAAACTATAAGACTAAATGCTTCCCAATTTATAAAGACCCTTCAATGTTTAAATTGAGCTAAACTCCTGGGTTCAAAATAATATTAAGTGAAATAAAATCTCCAGATCTGCCTGGATTATAAATCCCGGAAGCCATTGTAGGGACTGTTGTCTCATTACGATTGGGGAGCATGACATTAGATAAGATTAGTTTAGGACACTATAAACAAAATTGTTCCTTTACCATTTCCATTCAGTGCATAAAACCGTATCTTTCTGAATACTCTTTTGGTACATTTTTTAAAATTATAGGTGTAACTACCTACCTCCAATCGGTCAGATATCTCAGGAAGTTTGGTTATGGCAGGCTCTTTATAAACAAATTCCTGTTCATCCAGATCTCCAAAGATGGCTCCATAGAAACCAACACGGAAATAGGTCCCAAACATTCTCTTTTGACCCTGATTGATGATTACAAAATCACAGAAATAAATCTGTCTTTTTTTGCAGCACTTTTCCAAAGAGCAGTGGTATTTTACTTTTAAGTGCATCCTAGAAGAACTGACTAGGTCAGAGGTCTCTAAACTTGGCAATTTTAAGACTTGTGGACTACAACTCCCAGAATTCCCCTGCAGAACGGCTGGCTGAGGAATTCTGAGAAGTAAAGTCTACAACTTTTAAAGTTGCAAATTTGGAGTACTTTCTGTTTGAAAATTATTTCCTAGAATTTTATTGAAGATGAATTTGGCTATTCTGCTCCCATTCACAACACTATCAAAGTCAGCTACTTGTTTTATCTGATCAAAAATGTGTCTGTCTGTATCTCAATCAATCAAACAAAAATTTGAAGCAATTTACATAAAAAATTACCTAGTTTGGGAAAAAAAACATAGTTGAAGATAAATATTTACAGAGCATTTATAACCTTACAAAGCTTTTTAGCTACTTGGGAAAAACATTGGAGTGGAATCTTATGCTAATAGAAATAACATAGCAGACAGGTATTTACTGAATAGCACATCCTCAAAAAAATGAAATTTTAAGCAGGGGAAAAAAGGATTGTACAGGTAATCCTCAACTTATGGCCACAATTGAGACCAAATATTCTGTTGCTAAATGAGACATTTGGTAAGTGACTTTTGCCCCTTTTTATGACTTTGCTTACAACAATTGTTAAGTGAATGATTGTAGTTATTAAGAGAGTAACACGGTTGTTAAATGAATCTGACTTCCCCATTGATTTTGCTTGTCAGAAGGTCACAAAAGGTGATTACATGACCCTGGGACACTGCAACCATCATAAATATGAGCCAGGTGGCAAGCATCCAAATTTTGATCCCATGACCATTGGGATGTTGCTACAGTCATAAGTGTGAAAAACAGTCACTCTTTTTACTGCCATTGAATGGTCACTAAATAAATGATTGTACGTCAAGAACTACCTGTATTGCAAATATCCTTATCGTTCTAATCAATATACAACTACTGTAGCCCAACAACAGAAAAAGTACCTTATTTATTATGCTCTCAAAAGCCTTTTGGAGTTTACTGTGAACAGAAGAAAGTTTCCTAAAGTCTCGATTTGTTTCCAAAATGGGGATGACAATCTTATAGACCTCATTGACGGTTTCATACAATCCTCCCTTGTAGAAAGAAGAAACATTTTTAAGACTTTCAATCATTCATCAGAAAATTACCACATTTAGAGCATCATGCCTAAGAAATATTTGCTCTGTTGTACACTATTTTCCCCCAGTGAAGCCATAGTGACAAGGCTCGCATGCTCATAAACATTGCCAAACAAAGTGCACCACTGCTTAATGCACTATATAAATCAGATCACTGCTAATGTGTAAAGTCTCATTAAGGCTGTACTCAATTCAAACAAAATCTTTTTGATATTGGTTTTGCTATAGTTTGAACTAAAATGATATGCCCTGGAATATGAATGGTGACTATATTACTTCACTACAAAGTGGTATTGAAATGAAATTGTCCTCCTAAGTGACTAAACCAGGGGTGTCCAACCTTGGAAATTTTAAGACCTGCGGACTTCAATTCCCAGAATTTCCCAGTCCACAAGTTTTAAAGTTGCTAAGGTTGGACACCCCTGGACTAAACAAAAAAAAGAAAAAAGAAATGTGCTTAAATTTACAGAGCTTCATGTTTTCTTTTGATGCATTTTTTTAGTGTTTTATTGAACATTAGATTGTTTGTTCTGAATGTGCATGTCTTTTACTTTCATTTTATTGATCCTACTTTTAGAGATGTAAGCCGCCTAAAGTTGCAGCAGCTGTAAATCCAATTAAAGACATATATAAATAAACAGAATGAATAAAAGATGGCGTACTGCTACTCACAGTGTTAAAAAGCTCAGCAGCATTTTCCAGCAGTCCCACCAACCCGTGCTCTGAGAAATATCTTCCTGAGCAAACGCCATCTTCATCTGGAGACAGAATATCATCTGAAACAGCAGACTCTTCTAGGACATTGGAGGAAATATTCTGAAAAGGAGAACAAGAAGTTAGAGAACAAACAACTCTACATATTGTATCTATTGGAAATCTTTCTTTATTCCTTTTACTTTTTGTTTTATATTATTAAAATATAATCTGGCAAAAAGAAAAAACCACCAAAATTGACCGACAAATATTCAATTTTTTCTTCATTTGTTATAACTCAAGCAGTAATATATCTGAATGCTCATTTTCGGTTTGTATAGGAAAATATAATTTGCCCACCAAGTCTTATTTCTGAAATAAATCATTTATTTTAACCGAACTTTGTGTTAAAGGGAGGATCTTTTGCAATTAAATATCCTATGTATAATGATTTGCTTATTAATTCATCTGTTATATAACATGCTATATAGCTTCAGAATTTCATTTGAAAACATATACATAAAAAAGCATGTTTAATAAGATTGACATGTGCCAGTTTTAAAGTATACCAGGATGGCTTTCGAAACTGAAGAACATGTTTCACTGCATAAGGAACACTACAACACACTAGAAGGAAGACTGAACTTAAGGTAAGGATGAAAAGCAATGAATATAAGAGAGTTTAGGTTTGTCAAAGTTGGCATGTGTGGACCTTGGATATTCACATTTTTATATTTTCCATAATTTCAGATTTGGACAAGGGACCACATCTCTGCCAGAGATCTATATCCCTATAATAAATAAGAAGAAGATAGGATAAATAGGATTATTATTTTTTTTACAAATATCTGTGAGGTGCTTTCTCTTCACAAGTCCACTGCTTCAGTAGCATGCTTCTCCTGATTTGCATTCTGCTTTGTTAAGATTCACTCTTAACAAAAAGTGAATAAGTTAGGACTCTAACTTTTTTTTTCCTGTTCAGTCGTGTCCAAGTCTCAGAGACTGCCTGGACAAACCCTTTCAGTTTTCTTGGCAAGGTTTTTCAGAAATGTTTGCCTCCTTCCTCGTGCCAAGAGGAAGTGACTGGTCCAATGTCACCCAACTGCCTTCTAATCCAAGGCAGGACTAAAATGTATGGCCTCCTGGTTTCTAGCCTGATGAGCCAAGGTGGCACAGTGGTTATATGCAGCACTGCAGGCTACTGCTAGATCAGCAGGTCAGCGGTTCAAATCTCACCGGCTCAGGGTTGACTCAGCCTTCCATCCTTCCGAGGTGGGTAAAATGAGGACCCAGATTGTTGGGGGCAATATGCTGACTCTCTGTAAACCGCTTAGAGAGGCCTGAAAGGCCTATGAAGCAGTATATAAGTCTACTGCTATTGCTATTGCTATTGCTATGTCTTAACCATTACAGCAAACTGGCTCTCTACTCCTAATTAGGTAACTTTTAAATTCATACGTTGCCTATTTTTTTGTGTGTGGCATAGGCTCTATATGTGGCATAGGCTCTATGTGTGGCATAGAGCTATACTAGGATGGAACAATAACCTTTTGTATTTCTAAACTAATTAATTCGCCTGGTACGTCAGTTGCTCCCCTTCCTGGATCGGGATGCTCGGTGCACAGTCACTCATGCCCTCGTCCTTCCTCGCCTGGACTACTGTGACGCTCTCTACATGGGGCTGCCCTTGAAGAGCACCCAGAGGCTTCAACTGGTCCAGAATGCGGCTGCGTGGGTTATCATGGGGGCACCTAGGTGCTCCCATGTTACACCCCTTTTAGGCGGCCTGCACTGGTTGCCGGTTGTCTTCCGGGTATGATTCAAGTTACTAATTATGACCTTTAAAGCGCTCCATGGCTTAGGCCCAGGGTACCTGCGAGACCACCTACTGCCACCGGTAGCCTCCCACCGTCCAATGCAATCCCACAGAGTTGGCCTCCTCAGGGTGCCATTAGCCAGACAGTGTCGGCTAGCGACCCCCAGGGGGAGAGCCTTCTCTGTGGGAGCGCCTTCCCTTTGAAATGAGCTGCCCCCGGAGCTTCGTATAATCCCCGACCTCCAGTCCTTCCGATGCGCCCTAAAAAGTTGGCTTTTCCAGCAAGCCAGCCTGGCCTGAACAAAACAAAATAAATTATTGATCATTGTTAATTTTAATTCGAATTTTTTAAAAAAATGTTATTGTCAATTCTAATTGGATTTGTTTAGGATATTCTATTTAATTTTTTTAACTTTTGTATTATGTGTTTCTTTTAATGTTGTACGCCACCCTGAGTCCTTGGGAGAAGGGTGGCATATAAATCTAATAAACCAAACCAAACCAAACTATATTGAATATGTAGTTTTCAGTGTGCAGGTATGCTGAGTACATAGAAAGAATTTAAATCTTACAAGCTTCTTATCTGCCTAGAAAGAGTCATGCAGTACCAATAATGAGAAGTAGGCTCTATTTCTCCCTGCTTTATTTCTGCAATCTGCTTTGACTACTGGTTTTCGTCCTGTCACCCTTGCTAAGCTTCAGTGAATATGCTTGCGTGAAATGAAGTAATTTGCTCCTACCTGGAAAGTGACACTTCCAACCGGCAGATAGCTATGGTCCTCTAACATGCTCAAATATTCTGCCACAAGAGCAGCAGCATGAATGAGGCACATGGCAGCCTCAGTATAGCATTTCTTCTTGGTGTGCTTCTCTGCCATGTTCTGAAGCCAGGTAAGCCTTAAGTCAGGTGAAGTCTGATACCCTTTGGCAATCCTAAGAAAATAACAGGATAAAAAGAATGTTTTGTTTGGCTTTTTGATTGAATGATGAACAATATCATATTATTTGATCTTGAAGCATAGCAACTGGCTTTAAAATGGCAAGTAACTAGAAAATAATAATATTCCATAGAATGGCTCAATCAATCTCTTTTACTACTAACAAGAAGGTTACACCAGAACTGCATCATAACATCTCTTTCCTTATGTTCTGCCACATTTCTAATGAGCCCTTTTATTGAGTTTTTTAATGATACATTTATCAATAGGCTACATCCCAAAGGTAATTTTAATGAGCTTTTTATCATGTTGCTAAAAAAAAATAATCCTCAAATTATCAGATAATCCTCAAATTAGGATCATAATGCCCATCACCGTTATAACTTGTGAGGATTGTAAATTGGGCCACCCTGATTTTACAATCTTTTTTGGGTGGTGATTGTTAAGTTAATGCCAGGGTTGTTAAGCACATCCATGTTTCGTTATGGGTTGCTTTTGCCGAGAAATGGAAGTAAAGGCCAGCTTTTGACAAAATCATTTTAAAACCTAGTCATGTGACCACCGGATACTGCAAATTACTATAAAGGCAGCCCGGTTGTTGAGTACATGAATGTGGGGGAGGAGCATTCAAATCTGGGTCATTAGTACCCCAGGTAGGTCAGTTATAACTTTATGAAAAACTATACTATAAAATCAATGTACTTTTGTTGACTATTTATACCGGTAAAAGGAATTAAAAAATGAAATTCTAGATTAAAAAGTTAGTAATAAAGAACCCTCTTCTCCAAGGAAAATGCAATCATCCCCTTTGGAAAAATAGATATTTAATACAAGACATCAAAAGTCTCTAAACTGGAATCTAAACTGTAAGTGATCTGAAGGTTAGAAAAATGCTAGAGTTTTCAACCTGTACATAAGATCCATAAGCATCTCTGGGTCTTCTTGAAACTGTCGCATTTTTACTGTGTCTGATAATATGCAATTCAGATTGTGCAACAATTCTTCCACCTAAATAAATTCAAACAAATTTTCAATTTTTTCCCCACAGATTTCAAAAAACAATCACTGATAAGGAAAAGAAAACCCCCCTACAATGAAGAATATTGAAAACAGAGCTTCCGTTTTTCAACAACACCCAACACATTTAGAATCACATAATATAACTTCTAAAATATTACATTTCTTTCTTACTTCTTTACATTTCTTTCTTACTATATGTCCCTCAAGGCATTGCAAAGCACAATTAGCAGCGTTTCCGTTCCAGATCAAAGTAATCTTATTTGAATTAGAATATATCACCATAACCAATTATGATAGGAATTCATCCTTTGCCTGAGGACTCAGCTTTTGTATTCTTGCTTTTTGACAAACTGGGAATCAGATCAAGAATTTTTCCATTAACAACAGTTTTCTACTTCCGCCAACCTGATACAATCGGACTGATAGATTGGGGGAGGTGGGAGTCAAGATTATTACAGCCTGTTCCTAAAACGCCAAGGCTTTACGGTTTTGTTTGCTGGCTTACATAAGCCAAGAACAAAAGGAGACAGGGACAAAAGACATATTTATTTAGTTGATATATTACTCTTATATTCTTCCAGTTCCATTCATGTCAGGCATCAATGGCACTATTTTTGGACATTCATGCCAACCGTTCCTTAACTAAATACAGCAGTCTTATGATTTCCTCTTTTGCCATCATTTTTTATTACCAATTACATCCTCCTCCTCTAGGGCCAGGGTTTCCCAACCTTAACAATTCTAAGACATCTGGATTTCAACTCCCAGAATTTCCCAGCCAGCCATGGGGGAATTCTGGGACTTTACTGGGGTTGGACACTCCTGCTCTTGAGTAATTTGCAAAGCACAGTTTTGTAGAGGTTAGATGCTTCTTCCTTGCTTTGAGCAATAACAAGAAAAAAGAACACTCTAGGAACTAGTAATAAATAATCCCACGGTATTTTCCCTGAAGCTTTACTAAAAATTATTGGCGAGATTAGATACAGCTTTGATTGCTGAAGTAAGTGCCTTTGCTGCTGTTTTTACCTATGAGTGAGCAGTTCAGTTCAGTTTCAGTTTATTAAATTTCTATGCTGCCCTTTTCCCCCGAAGGGGACTCAGGGCGGCTCACAACTTGCAATATGGGTTTTGCCCAATAAATTTACCTAAATATAGAAAGCGTAAATTGATGCAGAAGAATTAAAGGCCACATAATGCCTTACCTGTCCTGGGAACAAAGTTGATTGCATTTCTAAATCTTCCTCTGCATATGCCAAAATGGTCCGTAATGACCTTCTGAGATATTCTTCATTAAATTCTGAAGTCTTACCAACCAGAGATGCCAGGGACATTGTCACTTGCATTTTCACTCTTGCAAAGTTCTTTTATAAAAGAGAAATAAACAAATCCTTGCTTATGCAAAGCAGGTGCACAGATTTTTTTTTCATTAGTAGAAAGTTCCTATGCATGAGATTTAAAACATTCACAACTTTCTAGTTCCTATACATAAAATTTCTTAGAATTTCCTCTTGAGTGAATGGAACAAAATCCTTATTTCTGAGACAGTCCTATTGAAAGCAACAACATAATCAATCTTTATGGAAGTTATGTTTGTTTATTTTGCATAATGGTATTTCCTTAAGTTTTTCTAAGTCCAAGATGAATTCCTGTAATGAGGTTGAGATACAATTGAACATTGAAATGTATGATCTTCGCAAATCCAATTTATGCTGTTAATTGTTTCTTTCTATTCCAGTTATAGATTTGAAATTAAGTAATCCATGATGGTTTACATTATTTTAAATATGCCATCATTCTAAATTCTGAATTTCAGAATTACAACACTGATTAAAAACATAATTATTAAAAATATGATCTTCATCCTACGCAGTATCAATTTCCCCAAATCCCCCAAAGCATTGCATGGAATACAGAAAATGAATCCCTTTGCAAACAGCGAATATTTGGCGAATGGCCATAAAAAAAGAACAAAAGAAGGAGAATTAGATGTTAATTATTCTGTAAAAAGTGAGGGAAGTGGAAACACAAACTGTGCTTTAGACCATGACTAGAAAAAAGAACACCATCTCTATTCTTACACTGATGGAGCTGAAGCTGTATCTCATCAAGAAGTAAAGCGTGGCGCAAGCTTGAACACGAGTAATGTCAATACTGCTACTGCAGTGCTGCAGGACCTTCTGGCAGAGATCAGCACATTGCTCCACTTCTTCTTCAAAGAGCCACTCTCCAAACTGCAGGAGAAAAGACTGTCAAACTAAACAATATTGGGCTGTTCGGTTGGACCAATTAATGACAGGTAATTATAAAAAGAACCATTACATCTCTTTTAAAATCCTCCACTTTTATGACTGTAGAGCTGTAGGCCACAGGGAAAATGTGGTCACCAGGAAAGGATGTACAGCAATAGTAAAAATAAAATACCCAATCAAAATATTTTATAAGGAAGACAGATTTCCATTATACAGGTAGTCCTTGACTTACAACAGTTCATTTAGTAACCATTCAAAGTTACAATGGCACTGAAAAAAGCAACATTACCATTTTTAATACTTAGAATCATTGCAGCTTCCCCATGGACATACAATCAAAATTCAGACTCTTGGCAACTGGCTCATATTTCTGACAATTGCGGTGTCTTGGGGTCACTTTTTGTGACCTTCTGACATGCAAAGTCAATGGGAAAGCCGTTTTACTAACTTAACTGCAGTGATGTACTTAACAAATGTGGCAAGAAAGGTAACAAAATGTGAGCAAAACTCACTTAACAAATATTTTGCTTAGCAACAGAAATGTTGGCCTCAGTTGTGGCCATACATTGAGGACTACCTGTAGTTCTTTTTTATTATTATTATAATTTTATTTTTTATTACATAGACAACATAAACATAACAATAGAAAAAAAACAAAGGGAAAAGGAGAGAAAAAAAAAGACAAAAAAAGAAACCCCATCATCACATACAATATGTCATTTGATCACAGGTGCATCCCTACTACGTTTATACATCCCGTATCTCTCTGTTGTATATTTAATAGACACCACAATAACCTAGGGTTTTAAAAAAAAGGACTACCTGTAGTTCTGATGCCTTCAGGAAGTTATTAAAATTTGGAAAATGATTTTAAAATGACATTTCATAAAGACTCATTAAGCTCTTTTATAATAAGGCTATTGCAAGCTACTTTATATGGTATGTCACAAGACAAATATAAATACAGTAAGATACAATAAGATCTACAGAATAATGAGCAGTCTGCCTATGGAAGTTTTAATAAAGCATATAGAAGACCCCTCTTATGGGCAGTTTAACTGGTTATCCTGCCCGTTGCAGTGGACTGTGTTACATAATCCTTCTGGTTGCTTCCATTTTTATAATTCCATGATTCAGCAGATACCAATCTAGTCTGCCATTCTGTTATCCTTAATGGATAAGCATAGAGCAGGAGAATCACAGTCCTTCTATTGTTTCCTGTTCTTCAGTTGCTAATATATTGAGACATGCTGTTTTTAGTCCTGGAGATAGCATGTAGGCATCCCTGACTAATAAACTTGGTGTATACATTTGCCTCCATCTTTTTGAAAGCCATGTAAGCTGGTGGCCATCATCATTTCTTGCAATGACAAAGTCCACTGTTTAAACTAAATGCAGTATGAAGGGGTGCTTATGGACGTTTACCCTGGATCTCCCAACACTCAGCTTCAATGATGGATCCTTGGGCTATGACAGAGAGAAATATATCATATACATGCATTTCCTTAAACTGAAATCCTCCAAGTGTAAACTGGCTCCATTCCCATGACAACTTTGATTGGACTTTTCTATATCACTTTGGGATTTCTTTTTTGCTTCTTGATCAGAGGTGGGTTTCTGCCAGTAATGGCGGCGGCGGGAGGCTCTGCCCACCCACCCATTGCACATGTGTGTGCATGAGTGAACCAGTATTAAAAAAGATGGAAACCCACCACTGTTCTTGACCTTTATAACTTTCTTATGCAATTAAAATCCATCTGAAGCAGTATTTCTTTGAGTTGCAGCAGAGGGAAATGTGAAAAGGAGAGCAGCAATCAATGAGAGATCAGTTTTTCCCCCCTCTCCTTGAAAGATGTCCGATTGTTCATTAATTAAGACTTAGCATTTAAAAAGCATTACGTGATCTACATTTCTGCTCTTATTTCCATATCCCCCATCTTTTCTGTGGCATACAATATCTTTTAGATCATATTCTTGTAGGTAGGCACTTTCCCCACTAAGTACATATAATAGAATTGGCAATATTTATGCACTGAACAGCAGAGTAAAAATGTTACTTTAAGAATGTGAACAATAAATGATACGTCTCTTATATACCTCAACTAAACTATAGTTAGAAACCTGTGGAAATTTACATGCATATATATAACTCTAGGCAGCTAAAAATAAAATAAAAACAAGATAAAATAATCAAAAATTTAAAAACAACAGTACAGAGTAGCTGCCAGGAATGTTCACAATATCTCACAATGAGATCAAGAATGAATTGGGCTTACCCATACTCCCAGGGCCCAAGGTTAGATGGCTAATCTCAAGGGAGATGATATTCCAGAGGGGGGTACTACAGCAGATAAGGGTCTCATGCTGGGTCCCACCAGTTTGAACTCTCCAATGCACCTATTTTTTCACTGATTTATTTTCGGTCTTAAAGTTGACAGATCCTTTTCTTCTATAATTCGAGTCTACAATTTTCTTCTGTATGAGCCGTGGTGGCACAGTAGATTGAATGCAGTACTGCAGGCTAATTCACTGCTCACTCCTGGAGTTCGATTCTCATCAGATCAAGGTTGACTCAGCCTTCCATTCTTCTGAGGTCAGTAAAATGAGGACCCAGATTGTTGCGGGCAATATGCTAGCTCTGTAAACTGCTTAGAGAGGGCTGTAAAGCACCCTGAAGCGGTATATAAGTTTAAGGGCTCTTGCTATAAAACAAATATATTTTTTTCTACTTGATGTTTCTTCCATATCTTGGAAATTGGAGCTCATCAATTCCACTTAAGTATTCATGATGTGTGTGACCTATTCTCTGCAAAAAGCCAAGTTGAGGGCTCTTTCATTCCAATGACAATGTAACATTATGTGGGAATGGAGCTGAGCTTCCAAACAAAGTGAGAAGAATGTGAAGACAAAATAAAGCCAATGCTTACCTTGACAATTAATGCTCGGAGGGTTGCAAAGCAATGGGTCAAATAAGTTGTGCTCTGATCATAGCTCAGAGAATTTATGAAGACCTTCAACACACCTCCAAAGATGTTCACCTTGCAATCCATAGCTAATGTTGCCTGTTGAAAGGAAAGGGAGACTTCTTAGGGGATTTATGGCATACAAAATTGATCCAATGTTGTTTATTGTGACATGATTTGCAATCCTACATGCTTTGGGGTTACATTTATTCATTTAGGAATAAGGCAGAACTGTTAATGACACTTTTTTTCTGTTTTGAAGTTTATTTTATTTCTGTATTTGTTTTATGCTATGATCTCACCTGAAATCTTTTAGATGAGGGATAGTGAAAATAATTTTAAATGGAAAAAGGTATGTAAGACACCTAGTAAACAGTTTATGCCTCAATATGTTCTCATTCTCTTTTCTCTTTGATGCTATTTATGCTGCTGAGAACAAAATATGAGATTCTATAAACAATTTACATTTCTACCTGTTTTTAATTAAGACAATTCCCTACAGCAATGCCAGTAGTTTTGTGAAGTTTCTAATAATTATAATATATATTGTTGGGCTCCACACAAAACTAGAACAAAAGTTTAAGAATAGGCTGTTTTAAGCAATTGGTGCATAATGCAGTTGTGCCTCTTCTTTTCACACTTCAAAGTCTTATTGGACAAATACCACCTAGATTTCAATAATAAAATAAAAACCCAGCCTTTTACCGAAGTGCACTAAAGTTGATTTATTGTAATGTGCCTGAAGTATTATCACAACATCTCAAAATATTAGAAACTCATTCTCTACACCACAATGGGTGGGAACTGTAAAACAATTTAGCTTTGTTCCCTAGCATTTCTAGAATAACATTGGTTGTTGAGGCTGTTTCTGTAAAATGTGTTTTAAAGTGCTGTTGTTCAATCCAATGACAAAAAGACTAACTAAATTGTTCTTCATTTCTTTAGCTGTAAGTATTATCTGTCAGCCTTTTTTAAGTTTCTCACCTGGATGATATTCTCTTGCATATCTAAGATGATCAGATTAGCTTCTGTAGCCAAGTTTCCACTAATCAGAGATTCTTGATCAATCTCAGTTTTTGTTCTGTAAGAACAACAAATGTTATTAAACATTCACAAACCAATGAATGCAATAATATCTTACATTAGAGAAATAACTTCGATGAACATCACAGTTTTAAGTTTGACAAGACTGACTCCCTAAATCATTGTTAGCATATCAGCTTAGAAATTTAAACTACTGTTTGTAAATCACCATAAACTATGCTTTGATGCCATATCTGAATGTCTGTCACGTTTTTTAAAAGGATTTTTTTTTAAAAGTCAAAATGGCCAGAGTGCCACTAATATGTCTTTCACTGTTCTGCCTCAAATATCTCATAAAAAACTTACCATTTTAAACTATCATCTGAAAGTGGCACTTGCCACACTGAGAGTTATAATTCAACTATTATTACATTTGTGCTTGTGATTAAATACCTATAAAAATACAAGTTTTATCTTTTTGTTTAGAGATTATTTTTAAAAAGGTCCCCTTTTAAGATGTAATATGACTCATCCACCCAGAATCATCTTATAGAGGATATGGGTGGCATAAAAATGTAATAAATAGACAAATAAAATAAACATATAGCAATCATATAGAAATTAACTTTCACCTGCATGGACCAAATGATTAAAACAATGAGTTTTTTTTCCATTTTTCACTAGATTACAACCCCAGTTTTACAGACAGGGAGTAATAGTAAAATTTATAAAAGGAATGGAAGCCACTTTGAAATTAGTATTTCAAACTTTGATGAAGAGCACATAATCTTGCAACCCAAAGACTACAAATCAGAGTTAACATATCTTTATCATGTTCTAAATGTAAACTGACATACAGAAATGCTTTTTACAAAATTAGTAAAAATAAAAAATATTTTTTAAAAGTTCCAGCAATGAAACAAGTAAGCAATCTAGTCTAGTAACTTAATGCAAGATATTATACACAAAGAATTGGCTGTAAATATTTATAATTAAAAAAATAATACATATATGACGCTAATATGTATTTATGGAACTATGTGGACACAGACTAAGTGAGAATATACTGCAGAGCTCCTATTTGTTTGTCAGTTTTTGGCTTCCAATGCATATGAATGAGAGTGTGGGTTTCTCCTTAGCTATAATGTTTATTGCTACAAATGCATATGCCTGGCAAGCACAATTGCGACCTAAAATGAAAACCCAGCCCAAAATGATTTTTACAAAACACCAAGTCACTAATGTTATAGTTCCAAGGAATGGTTTAAATTACTTTATCTGTGCAATGAACCACTGAGCTTCATAACTTGCTATATACAGTAAGATAATTCAAATTAATCTGAAGTCAAATACATTTTGACTTTCACTCCTTTTATAATAAGATAGTCCTTATTAGGACAGACGTATCACAGTGCATTCTGCAAGCCCTCACTGTTAAAATAAAGAAAATAATGTGGCTTCAATGACTATTTTACTTGGTTTATTGTTTTATACTAAAGATTCTAAACTGGGAGGAGAAATGCCTTCCTTTTCCTCAGCTGTAAGAGCTTGGGAGAAAAACTCCATAATATAGTTAGTCTTTGTTGGCAGCTCCAAATCCACGTGAAACTGAAAATGGAGAGAGACCATGCCATGTTTTCCATTCTATTTGTTCTTGGCTCTTGCAAACTCTAAGAGAAACAAACAAAAATGTGTGTATTTATTTGAACAGGATTCTCTAGTAATTCCCATTTTATTTAGTGTATCACCCAAAGGAATTCTGGTGTGTTTAGAACTACCCTCCTTAAATACAGAGAGCTTTTCCTGCTGGTGACAGGAGAACAAAGGAATTTCAGAAAATTCTCTCTATGGAGTTTTATAGAAAGCTACACATGTATCTGTTCAGGATGCTTTGAAGATAGAATTTCCTGCCTTGGAACAGGGAGTGAACCTAGATGGCCCTTGAAAGAAGCATTTCTGGTAAAGGTGATATACATTCATTAAATTACTCACTTATCTTGCATTTCGCTTGGTTGCCGCCACTGTGTCTGCTCTTTTCTCCATCGTAAGTTCTCATTCGACCCTGGGAATCTATCATTCCCTGCAAAGGGCAACATTCACAAATCACACCGAAACTTTGATATCAACATTTCTCAGGCAATAGGAGCTTTTGCAAGAGGCTACATCCACCATGATTGCAGCCAGAAGAAATGTATCTTTTTGCCCGCAGAGGCAGTGAGTAGATTTGATATGAAATTATTAAAATGTGACAGATGGGAACAATGTGTTCCCAAGACAAAGAAAGCACTGATCACAGAATCAAGACAATTATAAAGCAAACAAAAGACAAGATGTGAAGAAAGGAATGACATTCAGAATCCAGCTGTGAGCGAGGTGCAAGAGTCATTCATGGTCCATCCTCTTAATGAAAAAATAGGTGGAAACAACCTCTGCTGCTGCTTTTCTTCAAACAAGTAGAAAGGTTGCAATAGACACACATAACCCTCACAAATCCTTTGTGAGTAGCTATGACTCTGAATATTATTTCTGCCAGATCGAACCTGCAAGTTACCAGATGAAAACAAGCTGCAGCCTCTTTTGGATAACGACAACAATTATCAATCCAGCAGCTAGCTTGAGTCCATCATGTATTTTGTACTAAGTGGCCATTCAGAAACTAGCTCCTTAAAAACATTACATTATACAACTGAAGGTCAAGAACAAACTGAATAATGACTGAGTTCATTTGTAGATTTAAAGAAGGTGGATAAGAGGCACAAACATCAATCATTTCAACTGATCTAGCATTTACTACCATTTATACCTTATTAAGATTAGTGAGTAGTGCTTTTTGATCTTAGAAAGAAATAAAATGCCTGGACAATCCAAGATTAGTAATACAAATTCAGCATTTTCCCTCCAGGGTTCATGAACTTCTACAATGTTACCATCCCTCTTCCCAATTTCTCAAAAGCAGCATGAAAACCATCCACAATCGTTTTTAAATCCAACAACCTAGGAATGCTAATAGTCTGCAAAATCTTTCCTTTCCTCTAAACTGTTGAAGGTCCAACAGTTTTAAAAATACCCTCATCACAAAAGAAAAAGGATTACTTTTACACATCACATCTCCACCATCTACATCCTTAACTTCATGTGATGTACACATTGCACCAACTCCTTTGAAGGGAATTAAAAGGCATTTGGTCATCTTTTCCATTGAAAGATATGAGGCTCAGCAACTGGAAGGCCTCAGCAGGCAACAGTTTCTGCAAATTCAAACAATGACCATGGCTGAGCCATGTAGCAAGTAAATATGTTTGCAACCACTACTAAAATACAAATTGGCGAAACACTTGAACTTAGCCAAATCACAGTGATCTGGAATGCTTTCGAACTGCCACAGATTCCTTGCAGAGAAAATATTTTGGTGTTCAATTAAAAAATGGGAAGTTGGACAAATTGTACAAAATTACTGTGCTATTAACCCCATTTATCTCCATTCCCTCATCTATTCATATATGTCTGGCTTGCATCCCCTTCACTCTGTGCTTGAAATTCTTGTTTTCTGACCAGGTTGTTTTGACCAGGTTGAATGACCCAGAATACAACTCTTATTTGTATTCTATCTCTGACTGTTCTTAAGGGAGAAGAAAGAAGAGGGAGAAAGGCCACACAGCTCTTTTTAATTTGCACTATAACAATTTTTAAGAACCACATTCTACTGAACCAATTCACCATGTTCAGATCACTGATACTTTACCTGTTTCAACCTACAATTAAATTAGGTTCATATTGTGTCACCCAACTGGAAAAACAATCCTGATCCCATAAAATGTTATCCTTATACAGTATGTATAATAAACATATACACTGTAGTCTTGCTGTAAGCATAAAAGCAAGCTGGGTGACTTTGGGCAGTCTCACAGGCTTGCTGTTTCTGTAGGGAAAGTAGGAAGAGGCAGCGTAATATGCAGGAGTGCCACCTTTAGTTGCAGGTAGTCCTCAACTTACAACCATTCATTTAAAGACAGTTTGAAGTTACAATGGCAACAAAAATGATTTAGGACTGTTTTTCACACCAATGACCTTTGCAGCATCCCCATAATCACACAGTCACAATTCAGATACTTGGAAACTGGCTCATGTGTATGACAATTGCACTATCCCAGGGTCAGGTGATTCCCTTTTGTGACCTTCTAACAAGCCCAGTCAAAGGGGAAGTCAGGTTCACTTAACAACCATATTATTAACTTAGCAACTGCAGTGATTCACTTAACAAGAAAAGTCCCAAAATGAAGCAAAACTCACTTAACAACTGTCTCACTAAGCAACAGAAGTTCTGTGCTCAATTGTGGTCATAAGTCACAGACTATCTGCATTCACAATGTAATAAAGACAGGGTAACCAATTAATGGATATCTGGTAAATAGCAGCTGCCAACAAGAGTCCTGGTTTTGATTTTGATAGTAATATCCAACAATAACAGCTCGTCTCAAATTCAGTTGCATCTCTGCCAAGTAACATCAAGCACAAATGCTGTTTTGCTTTGAGGCTTTATTTTTGTTCCTTACCGAAAACAGTGGGAGGTGCAGACACCATTTCTTTGCACTTACAATGAGAAAAACAAACAGTCAAAAAACAACAGCAAAGAAATACATACCAGCAAGGAGTTTGCTCCGCTTCACCATTTCACCTCTGGCCCCCTCTCCCCTCAGCAATGCCTCTTCCAGGCGAGCTTTGGCATCTCGTGATTTCTTGAGGGCCTGAGTACTGACTTTGTCTGAGCTTTGCTTGCCCTGTCCAAACAGATGAATAAATTTACATCTCTAGACAAGCATACCTCAGGACATAATAATAACAACAGCCACGTTACTGAAGCCTTTTAAGAGCCCAACTCGGAATTTTGCCCAAGGATGCCGGTAAACATCCATCTGAGAAATAATCTTTTGCAGTGCAGTAACCTTTTGATTTGGACATACTGTATTTTTTGGATTATAAGATGCACCGGAGTATAAGACGCACCAAAATCTCAAAAAGGTAAATTTAAAAAAAAGTTTTTGTCCTCCCCGGTCTCTAGGAGCACTCTGCAGGCCTCCCAAACCTGCTGCATGCCCCGTTTTTTTGTGAAAAACGGGGCATGCAGAGAGTTTGAGAGGCTTGCAAAGTGTTCCTGGGGCCCAGGGAGGGCAAAAACGCAACGGTTTGGGAGCCTGTAGAGTGCTCCCGGGGGCTGGGGAGGGCAAAATCGAACAAAAAATGGTCTGTTTTTTGAAAAAAAAAAAGGGGGCGTGCAGAGAGTTTGGAAGGCCTGAGTGCTCCTGGGGGCTTAGGAGGGCCAAAATATACCCAATTTTGTGAAAGATGGGCCTTTTTCTGCTCATTTTTGCCTTGTCCAGTCCCCAGGAGCACTTTGCAGGTCTCCCAAACCCTCTGGGCATCCATTTCTATGAAAAACGGGATGCCAGGGTGGGGTTTTTGGGAGGCCAAAAATGCTGTATTCAGTGTATAAGACGCACCCAGATTTTCACCTCTTTTTGGAGGGGGAGGTGCATCTTATATTCTGAAAAATATGGTAATTTCTTCTACCTTGTATTCAAAGCCTGAGACACAGATGAAAAGAAGGTCTAAGATCCGGTTCAGCTGTTGAAAGGAAAGATCTGCAATCCATTTCTGAATAAGGTTCTGATCGGCATTTTTCATGATCCACAGGAAGCAGATCAAAAGATGACGGGTTGTCTCAGGACTTAATGTGTTGTATGATTTGTAGGACTAGAAAGAGATGACATGAAAAGATGGTAAAGTAGAAAAAAGAAAATGTATCAGAAGATTTCCAATATAGCAAATTTTACCACAGGAACAAAACATTGCAATATCACATCTTCAAATTGTGAGAGCTTCTTACTGTCATCTTAGAATGTTTTTTTCTAATTAATAGCCAAGAGCCATTTTTATTAGGTTTTTTAAAAATATTTTTACTAGTTATATTTATATCCTGACTTTCTTCCAGCTCAAGACAGCATACAGAGCACTTCCTGTTCCAATTTTTCCCTACAACACTCATTCTATAAATTAGGCTGCGAAAGAGTGTATTTGATTACATAATGTCCAAAATCTGTGCCTTTCGGCTTCCATGGTTGAAACTGACTGGAACCTGGACCTCCCTGTTGCTAATCCCAATATTTTTACAATCCTAGCTCATTTTCAGTGGTAGTGCAGTGGTTAGAATGCAGTACTGCAGGCTATTTCTGCTGACTGCCGGCTGCCTGCAGTTTAGCAGTTTGATTCTCATCAGCTGAAGGTTGACTCAGCCTTCCATCCTTCCAGTAAAATGAGATAAAATGAGGACCCAGATTGTTGGGGGCAATATGCTGACTAAGCTAAATCGCTTAAAGAGGGCTATAAAGCACTGTGAAGTGGCATATAAGTCTAAGTATTATTGGTATTCCTATTATTATTGAGCAAAGAATATCTTTATTTCAGATGGTGAGCAAGGATCCGCCATCCATAGTTTTTTACTCAGCAGAAGCCATCTCTTTATTTGACTGAAGTAAAACTTCAAATGGCCGTCACTAAACGTCTCAATGGAGTGACTTCTGAATTCATGTAGGAAATGAAAACTTTCCAACATGAGGTTATGATAAACGGATAAGGAAAAAGATTTGGATAAATATCCTAGACCCCTGAGATGAAGATACACCTTCTTAAATGGAACTCAATAAGAAACCTTTTCAGATAGGTTTTCTATAGGACTGATGTCATTTGTCAATTGAAAGCAGCTCTACTTCAAACATCCCGCTACCAGATTAGTTTACACTGCTGCTTTACACAGCGGATTAAGTTCATTTGCTTAATCACGTGCAGTTAATCCCCTTAGTCCAGGAGAGATGATAGGGTCTTCAAGATAGTTTGAATCACAACATCCATAATCCTTGGCCACAGTTAACACTGGCAGGGATAACTGCAGCTGTAGTTCAAAACGTCTAGAGCAATGGTTCCCAACCTAAGCAAAAATCCTGATGCCCCACCTGTGCCCCACCTGTGACATATAATTCTAACTTTACTCAAAAAGTGAGCTCTACACATGCAAGGCCATTAACTTGGTTTAAACAAGGTTCAAATTGCCCCATTAAAAATCAAATTGCCCCTCTGTGGGGGCGTGGGCCCCACGTTGGGAACCACTGGTCTAGAAGCACTCTGCTGCCCACCCTCATTTTAGGTAGAGAAAGAAGTTTTCCCACTTGGAAAAAATAAAGTATACCTAGAACATATGTAACTACCAATCTAGTGCAAATCAGAGAATGAGAGAAGTTTTGATAGCAAGGCTAATAATAGTAAATAACATTACAAGATAAAATCATAGGAACATTATTCGGGAAGGGACTCCTGTAAATTACTCTAAAAAGCCTTACCATTGCAAGCGTAGAGGAGCCAGAAGACCGTAAATTAAACTGATTCCCAGCAATAGCCAGAGCAATATTGTGGCAAATCTGGTTTGCTGATTCTTGTTCTTCATCTGGCCATGCAGCACGGCCTTTCCCATTGTGAACATCTGGAACTAAATTGGAAAGAGCAGGTTCTCTGAAAAGGGTTTTCGGCATGGTCCAAAGCATCTTCCATATTTCTCCAGTCAAAGACCTTTTGAATAGTTTATTCTCAGAGGAAGATGTATCAAGAGTGTATCTTGTAACCACTGAAATGCATTTATTTTGTTCTATCTGCTGTGGATTTTGATATTCTGGTCAATGGTCATAGTAAACATAGTATAAATATGTAGCTAAAAACTTCTGAATCTGCAAAACTGAGTTGCAGCACTCCAAATCAATCAGCTGCAGACCTGCTTCTTCCAATCTGTCTGTTTTTCTGACACAAGTGCTAACCCCATGGAAGCAAGAGCAACAGAATATTAAAATATAACCAGGCTGAAAAGCACAGAAATGCCAGGTTAAAGTTCCAAGCAACAATGACATATTTGAAAATACTTCTACATTTCTGAATAATCTGCATCCTGAACAATATTAAATGAGATGGGCAGTGCAGAAATTTAAGGAACAACAAGGCTATTGCATATCAGCTGGAGTGGGATGGCAGCCTGTGAATTCTAGCATAAAGCCTACTTTCCATGTGAAAAAGTCCAGCCCTGAAAACAATGTATCTTATATTATACATTTCTTGTGGATTTTTGAAATTTGTCCAGTCCTTTGATTAGGGTGAACTAGACTTTGTCTACCATGTTTTCCCGAAAATAAGACAGGCTCTTTTTTTTTTGACCCCCGAAATAAGCACTTGGCCTTATTTTCATGGAGGGCTTATTATTTTTGAGGTGCGACGAGTGTGCTCACCTAATGGCTGCTGCTGTGTTGCAATATTTTCAGGGAGGGCTTATTTTAGCGCATGCGCTCAAAAGCCCAATTGGGCTTATTATCTGGGGAGGACTTATTTTCAGGAAAACAGGGTATTAATATTCCCGCTATTTAAAAGAGTTTTGTGTGCCGTTACATTATGATCCTATGTATGCATGCATCCGATATGCCTCCGGCCTTTATTTTTACAATTCAAGGTAGCTACCTAAGTCTTCCTCTTCCTATTTTCTCCACAATAGCCCCGTGAGGTTTGCTGGGTTGAAAGAAGGTGACTTAAGCAACTTACATGCCTAATGGAAGATTGCAACTCAGAGTCCTGATTTCTACTATAGCATTTTAACCAATCTGTCAGACTGGTTTTCTGTATTTGAACAACAAAACAGAATATTTAGTATAAAACTACCGCTTGTGACTACTCTTTAGAAGGCCAGATCCTGAAGATGAAACTCAAATACTTTGGCCACCTAGTGAGAAGGAAGGATTCACAGGAGAAAAGCCTAATGCTGAGAAAGATTGAGGGCAAAAGAAGAAAGAGACGACAGAGAATGAGGATGGAGTCACTGAAGCAATAGGTGTGATCTTAAATGGACTCCAGAGGATGGTAGAGGACAGGAAGGCCTGGAGGAGCATTGTCCATGGGATCGCGATGGGTAGGACATGACTTCTCAACTAACAACAACAGCTTATGACATCTAAAATTACCTAGTTCTCAGAGCTAGATAACAAAAAGATAGATTTGTTTTCACTCTAGAATTAATTAATTTCTTTACTTGGCAAATTGTACAACAGATAATATATCTCTAGTAATGTTCACAAGTGTTTTAAAACCAAGTCATACTTTATAGCTTATTATGTGACCTTTGTTTTCAGTCTTGTCTATCTGCTTCCTTCTCGTTTTTCTTTTCAGCTCTTCTTTTCTCTCTGACTATAATTGATTAAACCTGCCCCCTCCGTTTGCTCTTTTCCCAATATTTTATGGTGTTCCCTTTGCTTGTCCTGCATTATATGAGCTCAGAGCAGGAACAGCCATGGCATAAATTTCTCCATTCAATCCTGCCTGACACCGAAACAACAGATGGGAGAAAACACAACAAATGCGCTCTCAAAAGCCTCTAGGCATTAAGAAAGCTATTTAGACAGCAGTATACAACACTAAAAAAGTCATTACCCAAGAAAAACTTGAGAAAACAAAAACAGAGAGATATTTGCTGCATTTATACAAATTGTTGGTGCAAACACCATTACCACTCAAAAGTGTTAAAATTACTGGTTCTTGAAAATATGTAACTGATTGAATCACATCTTTATCACAATTACACAGGAAGAAAGTTGAAAACTGAACACAGATTATATTGTCTGGTGCATGGCCAGTAAGCTAGGAAAGAAATGGAAATTCTCTTGCCTCACAGATAACAAGGGGTTCCCCCCCTTCTTATTAAAAGTTATTAAAACCAGATCCTTAGAAGATGATCTGTGAGTAAAAATTGTGGGCTCCTGTGCAGTTTTATAAGGATTTTGAAAAGACACATCAGCATTGGAAAATGGCAGGCAGGTGATTTGCACATTTGAACATACTAAGTGTTTTGTAAAAATCAGATCCAAAGTACTGTGTCATCCTAATATCTCTCTCTCACTTTGCTATGGCCACTTAATAGATTAAACAATTCTTTGTGGAGCTGTTTTTCATGTTTGTTTAGCCACTACACACCATTCACAAGTCCAATAATGTTGATGAAAAGATATTGGTTCATGACATTGTTACCCATTGTTAATTGAACCATGGTTCACTAAACTAAACTTTCTGGGCTTAAGTAATGATCAATTAACCAGATGAGAAGGTCTGTATAACATGCTAGGTTAAACTATGTTTTAGCTTATTCACAGGCAGTTATGTTGTTTGAGGAACCTAGCAAATCCAATAAGGGCAAAAGTACACATAAGCAACACTGAACATGTCCCATTAAGTTTGTGAAACCTTTTAAAATTTCATACTAATGTCAGTACTTCCAGTTCTACCACCAGATTGGTACAGATGCTGAGAATTTTCATTATTTAAGGAAAGAATTAGCCCATCTTTTGACAGTCCTAAGCAATGTAAGAAGTGTTGGGGATGGAGTGCCATCTACAGGACTCCAAGGGACAGAGAATGAATTACAAAACTCAGAAAAAAAATCTGTCCAGGGAGCTGGGAATATGCTGAGCTGGTTCAGCTGAGACAAGAGGAATTTTAAGTACTAGGAACATTTTCATTTCAAAATACTGGGAGGATGTTCATTTAGTTTTAAATGCAGAATGGGGCGTGTATGTATGCAAAAGCTGAAATTGCCATTTTTTTCTTTTCTTCCGTTTTCCTGCAACGAGCGGAAATCAGATAACTTTTCTTATCTCCTGCATGAGCTTTGCACCTAAGGAAACACTGTCGCTTGCTTCAGAGAAAAATGCTATGCCCTCATAAAGTTTGCTTGTTTGTGGCTTAAGATATTTGTGAATGTTGATTTACAAGTCACACCTCATGGCAGCATTTTGCATAAAGACAGCTAATAAATTCTGTCCTTACATTTTCCATTATCCCTTAGGTAAATATACTTACCTATCATACCTAAATACCTGTATTTAGGCAAATATATTTTGTGGTGGAAATTCATTACCTTACACTGTAATGACAAATTCCTAAATTTCTGCTCTATTTTGTGAGCATACTGAATTCCACAGAGGTCAGAACAACTCATATCTAGCAGATAGTAGGGGGAAACAGTCAACTTTTTATATACCATCTAGAAGACACTAAGTATATCATCATCAACATCATCATCTCTTGCCTGTAAAATCATGTAATTGAGGAAGGGCATCCAGAATTATGCCAACCAGAGGCAGATAAAGTGCAGCAATTTTCACTTTCATTTCTGGCTTCAAACAGGATTTATCCAAGTCATGTGAACTCATCAAGCTGTGGACAGCGCTGACAGCTTTCCTCTGCACCTTGCTTATTCTGCCAAGACAAAAAAAGACAAGGACCCTTTTTAATCAGTTAATCATAGAATAGTCCAAGAAATAACAGGATAAACATAATGAATATGGGAATATTTGAGAGACAAATTAAATATGTCCCCTTTAGGAAAAGAATTTAAGCCATAAATTGCACATGCTTTTTTAAAATTAAAAATACTATTCTCACACTGCTTGAGAAGTAACAAAATATTTGCAAGTTACATTATGCATATAGGAGCATCCTGGCCTAGTAAAATAATATAGACCCAGTTTATCCTTTTGGTATATTGGGATTAGGCTATAACATTAGTCCAAATGTTAGAAGTGGCTGAATTCATACAATATGTTAAAGTAAAATGCTTATTAATTTGCTTTGATATTTAGAGTACAGATAGTCCTTGACTTATAACCATTTCTGTAGTGACTGAAGTTACAATGGCACTGAAAAAACTGACTTACAGCAATTTTTCACACTTATGACAATTGCATCCTCCCAATGGTCACATGATCAAAATTTGGATTCTTGGCAACTGCATATATTTATGACGGGTTCATGTGATCATCTTTTGAGATCTTCTGACAAGCAAACTCAATTGGGAAGTCAGATTCCTTTAATAACTGTGTTACTATTTTAACAGCTGCGGTAATTCACTTAACAATTGTGGCAAGTAAGGGGCAAAACTGATTTAACTGTCTTACTTATCAATGGAAAATTAGGGCTCAATTGTGGTCATAAGTTAAGGACTACCTGTACTGCATGAACCAAACTTATGGAAAAACCTGACTGAACATTGTATGAACATACCCAACTTTGGTCTATCCATTAAATGATTCTCAATTTACATATTTTCTATCATTTAATCATTTCATAGTATTATGGCTTGGCTTAATCCTAAATCCCTAGATAGACGAAGCTGTAAACTTTTCTACAAACCTGCCTATGGGTTTTGATCTTGTCAACACAGCAGTCAGTTCACTTTCTGTTTATTTAAACTCTAATACTACTGCGGGACCTAAACTGTTTTGCAACAATTCAGGGTTAACTGCCCTTGACACTGATTTTTATTTATTTTATTGATTTATTAAATTTATATCCCACCTTTATTACTTCATAAGCAACTCAAGGTGGTGAACATACATAATACTCCTTCTTCTTCTTATTTATCCCACAACAACAACCCTATGAGATGGTTGGACTGACAGACAGTGACTGGCCAAGTTCGCCTTGGAGACTTTCATGATGGCTAAGATGGGACTAGAACTCACAGTCTCCTGGTCTCTAGCTTGGCATCTTAACCAATAGATCAAGCTGCCTGATCCTAGCTATATGAAAAGAAGAACTGAGTGGTTAAAGTATTTCAAGAATACGTGACTGAAACCCAATTCCGTACCCATAATTCACGAGTATTGCTTACACATGCAAACCTCGGGGGGGGGGGGGGGGAGAATGAGACCTACCCTTCCCCTTCTGCATCCAAGGTAGCGGACAACTCTGTGAAAAGTAACCCTGTGATGAAATGCTGCTGCCGATATTCTGCTGTAAGCTCAAACATGCTGGCAAGTTTTTGATCCTGGAAACTTGAGCAGGAACTTGAATTCTATAATAAATGAAAGTAAGTGGCAAATGGTATGCTTATATTGAAATCCAAAGCATAGATTTAATGACACAGCATTGTTAATTGCATTTAAATAATAATAATAGAATGACTTGACATAAAGTTCTTTCTTAAATATCACTGCTTTATAACAAAACAAAATCTCCTTAATTTCATCTCTAAAGCATTTTATATGAAAATTGAATTAAAAATCATTTATTAAATCAAAGGAAGAATAATATATATATGTCAGCTTTTGTAGATTTTCATGGGTGTAGGTATGCTGATCTTGTTGTATTTGGGTCTTTTCCCGTGGAAGATTTTAATCTTACATACAAGACCTGTGTGTGTTTGTATGTGAAGAAAAATTCAGAAAATTAATGGAATGAATTTATACCTGTATATACACAGGTAAGGCAAAAACTGATCATCATATACAGATGTGCTCTTAGTTGGCAAAGGTTCAACTGATAATATTAAATCATGCCAAAGAAGGAGAAATTGCTGTTGACTTCAGCCACTTTGTAGGTTATTCCTGAACGTATAAGGGTATGAATATGTTTGTGCACAAACACCTTCAATTGAATATATAATAAAGTTTTTTTTAACTTAACAGACAGAACTGATTGGATCGGATTCCTTTTCCATTCTTATATGGCAGAAGATTGATTTGAATAGCTACCTTCTCAGACAGACTAGATTCTGCTTTTTAAAAAAAATTGGAATCAAGTTCTCCAATTCCTCCTAATAGATATCGTCCTAGAAAACATTAGTGCTTACAAATAACTCAAGATGCCCTTTCTCTGTGTATACTGAATGTATATGAGAAGAAAGGAATTGTGGTTTGGGGATTTATTCCTGTGATCTGCATGTTTAATGGAATAAATGTATACACAATTGCATTCAAGCATACATGCATTCATTTATTACTGAATATGACAAAATTAAGAGGTGATGTCAGCAAACTTTCCCATCTATACAGATGTATGGAGCAAAGGATGACAATGGGGAAAATCAAAGGATAATGATTTATGTCATTATGACATAAAATATTAATGTATAATCAACGAGAAGAAATATGAAGACCTGAACATCGATATATTCTGCATCTGCTAAAGAAGGTACTCCCAATATTATTAAATTGTATTTTTATTTTAAAAAATAGGGGAAGTACCTGGGATGATATAGAAGGAGAGGGTGATGTTGGAGCACATCCTGAAGTCAGAAAGAAGAAATTCAAATTGAGGTAATGTTCATGACTGCAGAGAATTTGTAGGAACTCCAGCCTCATGGACAACAACACTGGGATATTACTCATTTTATTTGACAGCTAGAAAGGAATAATTGCAAAGAAAAGCATGATGAATATTTCCATAAAGAGAGAAATACTTTGATCTTGAAATAGATCAATAAAAATAATAAATAAGCAATACACATTTTCAACTGTTCCATTTAATACTTGCATCATATTAAGTTTACACCTATTAGACCTTTCTCCTAGTAACAACATTTAATAAAATGGATTGTTTTCTGTTAATGTCATAATTCTCATTACAAAGTAATTCTGTAATATACTTCCTTCATCTGTGCAATTTAAAAATATTGTGTTTTCAATACATGGCAATTGTTACTAGCAATATCTTAGTACAATTGAATTACATGAGTAAAATCTATTGACCCAAAACGGATCTTTTAATTCCAAACAAGCCTTAGGAGAAAAGCAAAATTCCATGGTACTTGTTTGAAACCTCTGTAATGAATGTTAAAGGAAATATCTGAAAAAGTTGGGAGGATTTTTATATGTCCAAAATTGCTAAATGTTGAGTGTCAGAATTGTTGTACCCAACTCAAAATTAGTTCACTTATTCAGGAAGACCCTATGATTGCACATATGTTGGTCTGTGCCAATTGAGGGAGCATCTAGAGCAGGGTGTCAAACTCGATTTCATTGATGGCTGCATTAGGGCTGTGTTTGACTTCGGGGGGGGGAGCAGGGGTGTGTGGCCAGTGGGGCATGGCCAGCTCAATGTCACTCATCGAGGCTCCATTTTGGGTCATGACGGCCTCCTGCAGCCCTCTGCCAGTGGAAACAGAGCTTGGGAGGGCCACATGTGGCCTCACTGAGCTCCATTTTCACTAGCAGAGGGTTGCAGGACGCCTTCACGATCCAAAACAGAGCCCCTCCATTTTCACTGGCAGAAAAGGGACTACGGGTCAGTCCTTCACAGGCCAGATCTAAGCACCCCATGGGCTGGATCTGGTCCCAGGCATTGAGTTTGACACCCCTGATCTAGGGGATAATACAAATGTTCTTCTGACATATAGGTTCTAGTCTAGAATTTGAGTTAATTGTTTGCCCTGACAAGTCTGTTTTCCATGTATAAGAAGGCTAAGGTAGGGATTTTTTTGAATGAGATATTCACCAATTAATTACCAAGCTGATTTGAATGATTTAATCAATAACTTTTATGGAGATGGGATGTTTGTCTCCACTCATATTTTGACAACCTTCAGTCCCCATCAATATTAGTATGATTGAGTCAGAGTTCATGAAAGTGATGATAAATTGGGGAACTGAGGATTTCATGCTTATGAATTCTAGACTGAGGCCATTTCAAAGTCACAAAATAGACTGCTAACTTGTGAATTCTTAAACACTTTCCATCAGCCAAAAAAAAAAAACCCCAACAACAACTTGGTAGGAGTAGGCCTGAGAAACAAAAATCTATACTAGCCCTACCTCCATGCTGCTGGTCTTAGGAGTATTGGACTATTCTCCAAATGGGCAGCTTAAATCCTATTAGTGTGAAATTATACTCAGGAGTTTACCCAAGAGTTGTAGACAAAAAGAAACAAGCTACTGAATCTGCAGGATATTTTAACCTTTCTCTCCTTACATTTGTTACTATGATTTAAGAGAACCATGGCATAATAACTGGGAAAAGCCCATTTTTAAAGTCTCACTTTAAAAGCTTCCATTTTTTGCTTTGGTTACTACACTGCCCAATGAAGAGTTTTTAGGAATGTGAAATATCGAATGCTATTATCTGATTTTCAGCCAGCTAAGTAAGATATTTCTATAATAGGATATTTGAATTTTTCTTATGGGCAATGGACCTCTCTCTGTTTTACACTTAAGACAGTAATCTAAAATCAAATCTCTCCACACTTGAAAGTTATAGATTGGGATGTACTATTGCATGCCCTTTATTTGAGGGATTTTTATGACAAGGCCTACCTGATTGCAGTAGTGTTTGATGAGGTTAAACACAAATCCACGATCCATTAAAGAAAGAAGATCATACAGGAAAAATGCCAAGCTAATGTTGATCTTTTCTGCCTGTTCACTTTCCTTAAAAAAAGAAAAACAAAAACAAATGTACTATGTACTCTGAGGTAAAATAATTATAGATTAATTATTGCATAATTATAGATTAATTTAATTATTCATGAATTAAAATGACACGTGAGGAAAACTCTCACACGTAAACTTTTGCCCACTGGGTTTAGATATATCACACCATAATGGACCACACAAACAAGTTCATCAATACCCAGAATACAAATGTACATTAAATGCAGTTAGTGGCCCAAAGACCAGTATTCTGACTTACTTAGACTAAAGTTAGTTAGGTAAATGTAACTGGCTTATCATGTGCAATTCATTCTAGATTCATTCTAGGATTCCTATACGTCACAGACAGCATGAATACTTGACACATGTTTGGCAATATAAAGCCTGAGTGAGTTTAATAAAAGAATGTAGATGTCAAAAATGTAATAATGATTTGGGAAAATCTGTAGATTTCAGGCTTGTTTGGTTAACTAATTGTAACAAATGGCTTTATAAAACATAGACCAGACATCTGAAAATATCCATTTGTCAACTGACATTTTGGATATTGCAACAAATAATTAGAATAAAATATTCTAATCTGACTGGATGTTGATACTATTCAGATTAAATTTATGAAGTATGTAAGAAAGTATGAAATGCCTTCTTTGGAAACTTGGTGGTGCAGTGGTTAGAATGCAGCACTGCAGGTTAACTCTGCCCACTGCCTGGAGTTCGATTTTAATAGGGTTCAAGATTGACTCAGCTTTCCATCCTTCTGAGATCAGTAAAATGTGGAGCCAGATTGTTGGGGCCAATATGTTAACATTGTAAACTGCTCAGAGACTGCTGTAAAGTGCTATGGAGCCATATGTAAGTCTAAGCGCTATTGTTACTGCTTTGTCTTTTAGATTATAATTTGGTATTTTCACCCTATACTTAGAGTCATTACAAATATATATTTAACCTATCAAGTTATTTTAGAATACCATCATGGCACAGGACTCAGAGTCTGAATCTGAAGAAACTGTTCCAGATGAACCAGTGAAATGTCAGCCTCAGGAGACACCAGGCCAGGGATTACTGAGATTGATCAAACATAGGTATCATCAGAACTGTGAGTGGTCATATGTTGAGATCTGCACCCAAGCCCTCAGTCTTATAAGTAGAGCAGAGAGCAGAGCAAATATATTCAGTCAGGCTCCTTGCCAAGTAACTATCTTAATTATAGATAGCTAGATGCAACCTGACTTAAGAAATAGTCCTGACTCATGCTTCTCTGTTGGAAAGAACTGTCTGATCTGCTCTGGTTTATTGCTCATGTGTATTCTCACCTAACATAGTGTGTGTATGTGTGTGAGCTTGAAATATTAATATCAACCTGAGAAGGATGCACTCTGTCTCCTTGAACTTTTAATTTGGTTTTTGAAATCTTAGCTTTTTTTGGTAAATAGTTTAAAGATATTAATGGTATGGTAGCACTTGGTATTGCATCTTTTCAGAAAATAATACCGTGTTTCCCTGAAAATACAACAGAGTCTTATTTTCTTTTTACCTACAAAATATAGTTTGGGCTTTATTAGGAGGGGAGGGTTTATTGTTTTGAGGTTGCTGGGCGGCTGCTCTCTTGCAAGTGGGCTTCCAAAGAGCCGGGCACAGCCTTATGGGCGAATGGCTGTGTTACGCTGTCGCAGCAGTGCAACACAACAGCCATGAAGCAACCACGCTCATGAGCAGCCACCCGGCAAACGCCCTTTGCAGCCGGGCACAGTGCCATTCACTGATCTAGGGTATCGTCAAGTCGCGTGAGCGCCTGTTTGCTGCCGCCCCGGCTCCCGCGGCTTGGCACCTTCCAAATGCCAGTGAATAGCGCTCTGCATGGCTGGAGAGGGGGGTTGCACGAGCGGCTGTTCCACTCGCGCTCACTCATCTCCCAGCCTCACAATTCATGGCCCAGCTCTCATTACGGAGCCAGGGCACCTCCTCCACTGCTGCCATCCCAGCCTGGCTTTTTCTGTGGCTTCCAACCCAAGTCTTTTGGCAGTGGCCGCTCTACGCATACGCTCTATGATTGTGGGCCTGCTCCTTGCAGACCGTATCCCGAAGGCGCCAAGCAATGCGATCACCTTTGCCTCCCCCCAGGTTCCCGCAGCTTGGCACTTTTGGGATACTACTAGGTTGGTGAGCGGCACTCTGCCTGGCCAGAGGTGGGGGGTTGTCCAGGGGGCTTATATGCAGAGGGCGGCTTATATTTTTGCCCACCAGAAAAATGTGGCATGGCTATATTATGAGGACATGTTGTATTTTCGGGGAAACACGGTATGGTCATTGCATTAATCAGACAATTTTGTAGTGTTACTATCAAAGCTTATTGATATTGTACAGCCTTATGATTTATACTCTGCTATATTATAACTTAAAACATAATTTACAAAGACCCTTTTAGTCACGATTGCCATCTGCTATTCAAACAAAAGTTATGATTCCAGAAGTATCCTCATATTGTATATCCGGTCTATCTGAAGAAGTGCACCTCTATCCAGAATCAAAGATAGTAAATTCCTAGATCCAGGTGGCCTCAAAACTCAAAGCCTTTCAGTCTCTCTCTGGTAATCAGAAAAAAGGCAATGATCTAGAATTCTAACATGAACAATCTCTCTGGAATAAAATTATACAATTGTGAGATTTCTTTGAGCTTCTGTTTATTTTAGATTGTAAAATTACCTTCTGAGTCTTCATTGAAAGTGCAGCAATCTCTGAGGTAACAACACTGACAACTGTGGTGATGTCATCTTTGAAGCGGTTGGAAAATCGAGCTCTGCGGGGAACATCCTGCTTCTGTACATTGTCAACATACTGAGCCATGCTTTTTACCTCAAAAAAACATCAACATTGTTTATCAAATGTGAGTTTGTAAACAATGACAAATAGTAGAGTTGAAAGAATTCCCACATTGTGAAGAATTCTTTCTCTATATTTCATGGAATGATAACATTTCTATATTCTGTTCCAAAAATTCTGCAGCTAAAATAAAAACTTGCAATGTACCTGTTAAACCTAAATGTGGGATTCCATTCTAAAATTCTTAGGTGTATAATATAATCTGTATTAGATGTATTGCTCAACTATTACAATTAATAGTATATACATTTCCTACTTTTACTCATACATGATTTTAAAAAAAATGCTATTTAACCACTGGGACCCTCAGGGACCCAACATTAGGGGTTGTCTTCTCTGCTGCTTATGACTAGAATATCAATAAAATTCTTCCAGTGTTCTGCACAATCACATAAGATTAATGTGTTTGATGTGACACTGGATAACTCTAAACAGTTTAATTCTTTTAACATACATATGTATATGTATGTATATTTATTTTAAGAATAATTTTTCACTTACTAAAAAAAAGTTCCTTTCAGCCAGTTTATATTTTTGCATATTTGATGGATTTGATGGAGATATCAATTAGATTAATAATATAGAATAAAATTTTTATTTTAATTGACTAAAAGAATACTATTACTTCCTTGAAAGCTATTCCCATTTGGTAACTTCTCTCCTAACATGCTGTAGACATTTATTGTTTGCTCAGGAATCATATTTCCTTATTACCTAGTGACGGAAAGGAACTAAATGCTTATTGAAATGCTAGTGATGGAAAGGAACTAAAAGATATTTGTTCTATTTTATTTGGGTTGAACATCAAATCATATATTCTAATTTCTTTTACTGAAAATTAAAGGACCATACAAAATCTTACCAGCAATTCAAAGAAGAACCAAGAATACTTGAAGACTGCTTCTCTCACCATGCTTGTGCTGACCACCATCTGAAGTGCGATCTCTTCATGAAAATGCTATACAGGATATTAAAACCCAAATGTGATTACCAATTGACTTTCAAAGTTAGATTTCAAAGCAGAACTCTGAAAGGAGGAGATCCAAAAGGGAATCTTTTCATATTAGCCCCTGAACACACATAGGAAGCTAAACATTAAGAAAGCACACAATGAATTGTTGGCAGCAAAATAAAATTGCCCAAAAATAATAGCTGAAGAAGTGGTAAAAAAAAGATTGACTATTCTAACTGTCATACATTTTGCAATGGCAGAATTAGGACCAAAAGGCAACCTTAGAAAAGAATGAATTAGTAGATAAATAAACCTTACAGCACTGTATCAGTAGTCATTTTTCCAAGAAAAATTAGAAATAATTAGTGATAATTGCATGTATGACCAACACATAGGTGGTCCAGAATGAAGGTCTAAATCTTCTGTAGCATGCAGTTATATTTTAATTCATTTTAAGTTAATGAAGATGAAGTCTACAATAATATGTGCAAAAGGAGACTGTCACATAAAGCAACGTGGAAGCCTTTAGCTTTAGTAAGACTGAAATTAGACACTTTGCAGTTATAAGTATAATCTTTATTGTAATTGTACTTAAATACAATGAAATTGGTTTAAAACTAGAAGATCCAATCTTTAATAATTCCCTGCAGGTATAGACTAGTTTTTGCCTAACTCTACTGAGCTCAAAGCCGCAGCGTCTAAGCGCGATATCTATTTATTTAAAGATTATTCAAATACAACTTAAATTGGGCTGAATGCGTTGATGATTTAGGATGACTTAGCTGGGATTTTCCTTGCCGTTTGGCTTTCTGTTATTCCTAAATTCCAGAATACATCAAACATTTATCCAATAAAGAGAATCTCCCTTGTCGTGTGCTTTTCCTTTTTTTTTTTTTTTTTGCTGCAGTAGAGAAAGGTAATTTATTATGATCTCTAGAGAACAGTCACTAAAATACAAGTAGTCATCGACTTACAACAGTTCATTTACAAAGTTCAAAGTTACAACAGTACTGAAAAAAAGTGACTTATGACCATTTTTCACAGTTACAACCTTTTCAGCATCCCCATGATCATGTGATCAAAATTCTGATGCTTGGCAACTGGTTCATATTTATGATGGTTGCAGTGTCCCATAGTCATGTGATCACTTTTTGTGACTTTTTGACAAGCAAAGTCAAAGGGGAAGCCAGATTCATTTAACAACCATGTTACTAACTTATCAACTGCAGTAATTCACTTAACAACTGTGGCAAGAAAGTTTGTAAAATGAGGCAAAATTCACTTAACAAATGTCTCACTTAAAAACAGAAATTTTGGGCTCAATTGTGGTTGTAAGATGAGGACTACCTGAATTCAATTATCCTGTTTCTATCTTCTCAGACAAAATTCCTTTATAATCACTGAGGTTTAAATTTCAGTACATACGTCTGAAACATTAGCTTGCAATTAGGGTTGATTTTTCAGTTTCACATTTTAATCCAATGCAAAAGGGGTCTTGAAGCAACCTAGCTCTAGTCCTACAGCTGACAAATATTTTAGATCACCAGGTGTTATTACTAATAGGCCCTTTGTTTTTTTCCTGAAAAATTTAAAACAAATTTGGAGCCTAGGCATTTCAGAGTGAGAATTGAAAAATGGCATTTTTGTAACCGAGTGTAGAGTGTCTGTCAATAAGCAATTTGGCATTATGTGGCAGTCTACCTTTTGTTTGGGTAGGCGAGCGCTTGTGCGGGGATTTGACATATCACTGTTGGATTCACTATAGAAAGACACACGGCTGTAGTTCCGCTCTGCAACCTGGAGAAAATGACCAGAAGCCATACAGAAAAAGAATTACTAGAACAGCGAAGGAAGGAAGGAAGGAAGGAAGGAAGGAAGGAAGGAAGGAAGGAAGGAAGGAAGGAAGGAAGGAAGGAAGGCTGGCTATGCATGAAGTATGCAATGAATATGTTGTTACATTTTTTTCCCACTAAATTAAACACATGACTAATTCCATATTTAGTACTATATACATATACATACATATATTGTATTATACCTATTCAAACTTTTACATTGCAATAAAAAATGGAAGAAAAACAAAAATGTCTTCTCTAGTAAGGATAGAGAAAAGCTCTTTTTATATCAAGAATGTTAAATGAGAATCAGAACCATTATGCACTTGAAGGGCAACTATGTATATTTCACTATATGTAATTTGCACTTATTGGATTAAAATAATTTTAACAGTGCAGTAGTTGAAAGCTAACATTCAGATTCAATATTACAACCTTATGTGGTGGTTGTTTATTAACTTTTATCCTAAATAATGGCATAAAAATACTGAAAAAAAATTACAATAAAACCACATAAACTTTCATAACAGTATGCAGGATGAGACTAACTGCATTCTTTTCTTTCTCGTTATTTTGTAAGATGGCTAAACTTTAGATTTACTATCCATTTCTGCTCCTTATCTTCATTTTTTTAATCTTCTACAAGATAAAAATATTACCAACACTTTTAAAAATGATCTGATCACCACATATAGGAATGATTCTAGCCCCTTGGCTACCCAAAAGCATTTATGTTACATGTTTAGCTCATGGATGAGTTCTGGTGCTTGCCATATAGTGGTCAATCAATCTTGATCTATATGCAAGAAAGAAAAATATTGGCATAAAATGTGAACGTAACAGAAATGGAGAAAGGAGTTGCCATTAAATGAGCCATGGTAGTGCAGTGATTAGAATGCACTATTGCAGGCTAACTCTGCCCACAATCAGGAGTTTGGATCCTAACCAGCTGAAGGTTGACTCAGCCTTCCATCTTCCAAAGAGGGTAAAATTGGAACCCTGAGTGCTGGAAGTAATATACTGCCATTGTAAACTGCTGTAAAGCACTATGAAGCTTTATATAAGTCTAAGTGCTATTGCTCTTAAAGCCCACTGTCCACTGAATATGAATTTATATGCACCATATTTAACTTACATACATGTATGAATATATTTGATATAAAATGTATATGGAATTTACATAAATGCCATACCTTTGTGAAAAGAATTCAGACCAAGACACCAAACAATTGGCTTTTCTATTATTCGGGGATAAAATCCAACACAAGATTTTGTCCATTGCTTCCAAGCACCACCAAATAGAAGTCCAAACATTTGAGGTTTTATTGAATAAACAACCTTACAGTAGTTTTAGCAGTGTAGAATTGTATGCTATTCTCTTACCTTTGAGGACATGATGCTTTTCACTTCTTCATCAGAAGCATGCTGGATCCCAGCAATATCTGGATTGCTACAGCTTGTTGTCCGACTCTGCAAGAGTCGAGATCCCACTGAGACAGCAGCCGTACGGCCATATGTGTAATAACGAGATTCAGGAAGATTTGTGCTTCCACTTGTACCTGCCAAGAAAAAAACAACATTATGCTGCCCATTGGTATTTAAAAAAAAAACCATACATGACATTGCTGAGTCCCAAAAATGAGTTTTGCCCTTTTTTGTACAAGGAAATGTTCCATCCTATCCCAGAATACAGCCTGTGATTGGCTTAGAAAAGAGCTGAGGAAGGATAAAGCTGCACAAGGCAGAATTGAGCGCCGCTCTAAGCTGCAGCAAGAGAAAGTGTGTGTAGTCGGGCAGGGGAAGAGGCCAAGTCTGTAATCCTGGTTTGTACATGTCTCTTTCCTTTTTGGGGGGCTGTGTATCTACAGGCGAGTAAGACGGGACTCTATACATTTACTGCACCAGTCACAGGTTTTCCTATTGGGAAGACACGTGGTTATTAATGCTACTCAGTTGCACGAGCGGGGCTTTTTACCCCCAGCTAATTCCCTGGCAGCTGCTGAACAATCATAGAAAAAACTCTTGATCCCTCTAATTATGAGTTCTTTGGACGAAGATATTTTTTAAATTATTATTACCAGTTTCGCTTGGAGACATGGGCCTTTTCATTTTTTTAGTGGGTTTTTGTGTATGTATCTTCAAGATTTTTACATTTATAGAGTAGCAACTAAAATAATTTTATGGTTGGGGGTCACCACAACATGAAGAAATGTATTAAAGGGTCGCGGCATTAGGAAGGTTGAGAACCGCTGCTCTAAGCTAATAGGTTTCTGTTCCTAAGCAAATGCACATGAAGAAAGTTAATCTGCAGCTCTGCCTCCCATTCTGGCCCTGCTTATCCCCATTTATGGCTCTGCTTGAAGTCACTATCTATGGTCAGAAGGAACCATTTTTACCTGATTCTTGTTTGGAGAAATCTAGTCAGGTTTAAGGATTTTATTTTTGACATTATGAGAACTATTCCCTGCAAGATACAGTACTTTAAAAGGAGACTGTCAATTGTAGTTCATCCAAAAGGAAATGAATCCTTGGCCTAGAACAGGGGTCCTCAAACTTTTTAAACAGGGGGTCAATTCACAATCCTTGTCACTTGCAACTTGAAGACTTGTCCGGCTGGCGAGTGGATGAGCGGGCAGCCTTCCTCCTCCAATTCAGTCCTGTTGCAGCACTCTTCCAGCCTCTGTGTGTCCCGTTTTCGGCCAGCAGAGTGCTTCTGGAAGCAGGGGAAGCCAAAAACGGGGCACACGAAGACCACCTGGGACCTCTGTGCACCATGTTTTTGGCCTCTCCCGCTTCCAGTAACACTCTGTCAGGCAAAAATGTTGGCCTTACCCTCCAGTTCCAGGCCACAGGGCTCGCGAAGGTCAGTCCTGTGCTCAGCTGAAGGGTGAGGGCCAGCGGGTGGGTGGGGCGATTTGGGTGGGGCAGCCTTGTGGTTCCATGTGGGGTGGATTAATGGCTTTGGTGGGCAATATACAGCCTGTGGGCTGTACTTTGAAGACCCCTGGCCTAAAATATAGTCTTTCACAAATTTGTACTTGTGATGTTTTCCTCTACCCAAATAGTAAACACTACGCTAAGCATGTGACAAATTAAATAAATAATCTAAGCATGTGACAAATTAAATAATCTGAATTTAAAAATTATTTAAATTCCTTGGTTAAAAATGATACCATGTAACATATTTCTTTGCCTGGTCACTACAAGATAATTAGCAAGTTTTTTTTTAAAAAAAAAACCTGCGATACTATATCCTCTATTGCAAGCTTGACTGTTGCCTTGAATGTTTGGAGGTAAAGCTAAAGGTAGATGGAGATCCACCTTCTCTTGACACTCCTTTCTACCCTTTCTGGTATTCTGTGACTTTCTAAGCCACAGACCTAACAGATGATGCTTTGCACCGTTTGTTTTTTTCAAATCAGAGTAAGGGTAGTATAAAATACACTTGGTAGGGGGAGGCTGGCTAAGCCAGGTGTGCTGAATATCCTGTAGTTTTGCTATCTTCCTACTTTTCACTTGAAATGTCTCAGTGACCTACACAATCTTACAGTACTTGGTGCAAGGCCCATAGGATCCACTGCAGCTTAAATCTGAGAAAATATTCATAAACTCCACCTGTAAACAAATATAAATAAGCACCCATTTTCTACCTGTAAGTATAAATAATAAGAGGCTGCAACCATACCTAGTTTGATAAAATCTTTCTGAACTTCAGGAAGACGGAACACATAGTACACGTATGATGCTAGGAGACAGTTTCGCCCATGTTGGTCTTGGCTCAGATCTTTACTGTTGTGGAGGCTATTTACTATTCCCACCACTGACTCAAAGGCATACTGGGAGAAGTTTGCTGGAAACAACAAAATAATTTTCCTGGTTGAGTTTATATGTAAACATGACTCATTTTTGTAGACTTTCTAAGAACATTTCTGAATTTCAACTTATTTCATCACAATTTGGCACGGGAAATGTAAAATGATTTGAGAATAAAGTATTCCAATCCATATTTAAAATTAATGAATACGTAAAACATTTATAGTTCAAAGCCACATCGTGCTTAAATAAAAGAGAAGTAAATAGTACATTCCTCAAGAAGGAATGGATGGAAAACAGAACTAAAACACAATATGGATAACTCATTCATTAAATTCAGATTCAGTCAGACGTAAGGTAGATCCACTGATCAGTCTACTCAGTCTGAATCTGTATTCAAAGCAGTGACTTTATTCATAAAATCTGCATAAAACAAAGCGAAATTATCTCTGGTGTGATAGTGCAGATCTATCAATCCAGGATATTTTTTTATTAAGTTTCAATTTCTGATTTCTATGAGATAGATGAATGGTTTTTTTAATATATCAATCTTGCTTGATTTGAAGAAGAACACGCTTTAGTATTTTTTAGAACATTCCCAATAACATAAGATTTATGAGTTCTGTATTCAATAGCAATGTTTCATACCTGTCTGGCCAGCTATAAGCATGGGCTGGACAGTTAACTGGAACAGTTTATCCAACACCAAGTGTAAAAAGTGCACCAGAGGCTCAAGGCGGGAAGAATTCAAGCAAATAATGCTGAGTTTCAGCTCATGTTCCAGATTGCCTTCTGCGATTTTCTCATTCAACACTCGGATGGGGAAAGTAACTGGGCATTCAAGTGCATGACACAGGATGAAGAATTTCTCCAGGTGATTGTCCTATAAATACAACCCCCCAAAAGTATGAATGATGCGTAACGCTTATTATAGAGCTTGAATTGCTCCTGTCACATATTTACCTCAGTAGAAAAAAAGGAAATATGTATTTTTTTCAGTTAAATTCATAGTTAAAACAGTTTAAATCTTCAGAACTAATCCAGGTCTAGCAGAAACCAAGTTTTAAAGTCTTCCCAATCTTGAGGTAGCTAGTCTAAAAAAATAATGTCTTTTAAGTAACAATATTTTAAAAAGCCAAAACTATTATGATCCATCTCACTAAACTTGTGTAATTTTTTTAAAAGAACTATAATCTTAGATGCTTTATTTTGAAACATGAAATAATGTCTATTAAACTCTGTGAATATCAGTATTTTTCTTAAGCAAGATTAAAAGAGATACAGAAAGGAATGTTTCAGAGGAAAAAAATGCCCATGAGAAAAAAAAATCATCTTCAAGTTGAACAAAATTAGAAAAAAATGTTTTAGTTCTTCAATTACACCTGGACCTCCTTTGACATAACTCTGGCATAACTAATATTAGTCCCAGTCATTTAGTCATTGAAATAAATTATTTTTAAACCTATGAAGCAGCTGCCAAAGAGGGCATAAAAAATGACTGTTTAGACCACTTAGGTACCAGGCATACTGGATATTTGCTTCTACTTTTTTTATACGTGAATTTAATTAAAAGCTATGAAACCGCAGTCACCTAGAAGGTTGCTCTAATTGCTCGATTTGATATGCAGTGTGATTACACCCTAACCTAAAAGAATCATGAAATTAAACATTTATACAAGATGTATTATCTTTCCAGCTCAACTTTTTTGCAGTTTAACTAGAAAGACAATGGTTAATCTACTCAGGCTTTCTATATTTGATAACCTCAGTTTTGTGAAATTTGAAGTTTTAAAGATAAGTAATTGAAGTTAAAGAATGAATTTTAAAAAGAAAACAGATTAATTTTTGCATGAATGGAAACTCTGCCTGCCTCCCCCAATTTCTTACCTGGGTATGAACTGATGATATACCTTGCACTTCCACATTAAACACTCCCTTGTGTCCTTCTACCCATTTAATAGGAGGAGACTGTGGAGGAACTTTCTATATCGAAGACAAAATTGGTGATCAAAACATATGTGATGACAATACAAAAGGCAATGAATTCACATTTATGTTTACTTGGTATTGAGTCTTTTTGTACTGAACACAAAATATTTATAGTTAACATTTTAATAGTGCCACTTCAACTCAGAACACTTCCAGGCTATTACATTCATACAATTATAGCATCTTTCCCAATATGGCACCCTTTCAAAATATTTTTCTCAAAAAATAAGTCAATTTCCATCATTGTTCCTTACTATAATGATCTGAGGCTAGTGCATCAGCCTAAAGGAACAAATGAATGATTCAAAAACATCTAAACATGTAATCAAATGACCCAAATGGAGAATTACCACTAAATGTTTTTATGTATTTTATTCAAAATAAATACTCAGTTCATTACTGGAATTTACAATGGCTGTAAATAAAACTCTTCACCTTTCACATTACAGAATCAGATTCTATTCCAATAATTCTATGTTATTTAAATATTATGAGATAGTGGTTCTCAAAATGTGTAGTCTTGGGGAACCCCAGGATGGTGGTTGAATCAAAAACAATTACATACATATTTTCAAAATTCTCCATTTTAATTTCTAATATAGTAAATATTGATAGCTATAACCCATTTAAAAAGTTCTCAATATGCACAGATTATAAGAAAAAAATAATTGAGAACCACTATTCTACAATATATCTTTGTGTCTTTAAATTGCACATCTCTGTATATGTTCTTCCATTTAAGGAAGGCAAATGTTATAATATTAAGAGAAAAATGTTAACTGTGTCCTTTTCCTTGGGCAAAATGATTCTTGGTGCTTTTCCTCATTACCTCTGCTGAGTGCATTGAATAGTTGGCAGGCAGTTTATCCAAAGCAACAGGCAGGCAATAATGTCCTGTTTGGAGCCGATCATTTAACAGAATTGGCAGCCACTGAAACAAATGATGAGAGAAAGAGAGTTATATCGTTATTGCATGAACGATTGATAAGGCTTAATCACATTCCAAGAAAATGGATTAGAAATCAACTGAAATCTTTTCTTGCCACATTCGTTCTTGCAAAGACCTTTAAGGTCTATCAGTTTCATCATTGGCATTCAAATACAATTACTGGCATTTCTGCCACCAAACTGCCCCTCTATAAAACTACTGATTTTCTGAACACCCTGTCACACCCCAAATCAAGCTTTTCAAAAATCCAGCATAATGTATGGAGAAGATCCCATGGCCAGTTATATGCTTTTGTACCAGAATTTTCACTTTCCCTCATCTAGTCCAATCCTAGCCTAAGTGGCAGAGATGTATTATCATGCATATAATAAATGTATATGATATACATCCCATGGATGTTATATATGGTGCAAATTATGAGATATATAGATGATCTGTGGTAAAATAAATACCTTCAAACAGAATTTAAGTTAAAATTCCTGCATAAAACCTTGACTGACACACAAAACATGATATTACATATAAATATTGCTGTGATGTGAAACATCCATGAAACACCACATGCAATATTTTGCTATGGATGTACTTATGCAATAAATGTAATGCACAGAAGGCATACAATATATAAGAAACCCCATATAGGTATTTGATGAAGTGAACTATGAACCACTAAAGCATTTACAATAATACATTTGTTAGTCTTTAAGGTGATACAAAGCTCAGTGTTGTTTTTTGTGCAAAAGGTTACTTCACTGACATTTATGAAAAGTGTGCAACATAGACCCATAAATGTTAAACTGATGCTTGCAAAATGTGTCAAGTTTTACTTTGACAAATAGATAGATTACAGATTTGTGCAATAAATATGCAACACAAGTGACAAACCATTGCTTGCTTCTGTTGCACATTGAGTAGTACAATACAATTTATGTTTCGCGCATGCTTCTTTGACATTTTGCTTCTGTATAGTGGACAGAAGGGCCTCAGCATGTGACAGTACTTCACCAAGTTTATGTCTGGTTCTAAAAGTCAAGCAGGATTGGGCCACCTGGAGGGCGACACCATAAAACCCCAGGGAGTAGGCTAGATTAGAAAAAAGGCAATGGCAAATTATTTTTGTACATTTGCCAAGAAAATAATGACAATTTTTACACTATTGCTAAGAAAAATTACATGCATGTGTCCATGAACTCACCAGGAATCAATCTAAACTCAAATGAAATTTTACAGTATTTTCAGTTGCCAGAAATAATGAAAAAATCATTTTTCCAAGGAACCAAAACTGACTTACTGAATAACCCAGGAGAGTTTCTACAGAAGCTCCTTGTTTTGACTGACAGCTGATGTGGTAAAATGTGAACAACAGATGGTGTTTTTCTGTCAGTTTAGCGGGTAGTTTAATTTTCACTTCTTCATAAAAATCGGGACACCTGTATTTTTTAAAACAAAAAGATATCTATATCTGTATCGCTATACTTGTATTGATATGTAAGTAGCAAACATACAGCCTTCTTTAAAGAACTGCAAGTTTCTTTACCTATTTATTAGTTTTAGTGTATAGCATATCATAAGATTTGTGATAGTATGAATCTGTCACAGAGATCATAAATAATGAAAAGAAATAGGAAGTCTAATAGAATTTATAGATCTTGAAGAAAAGACCAAGGAATTGCTGCTACAAGTCCAGAAGAAAATGAAATTTATATTTATATATGCAAAATATAAAATTGTTTACCAATATGTTGTTTACCAATATGTGATTCCTTTGATCAGTGTAAACCAGGGGTGTCAAGTTCAATTTCATTGAGGGCTGCATCAGGGTTGTGTTTGACCTCCTAGGGTTGGTGGGTGTGTGGTATGTGGCCAGGGGTGGGTGTGGTCATGGTGGGTGTAGTTGGGGTGGGCGTGGCCATGGTGGGCATTTGACACAGGCTCAAGATGCATTTTTCTCCTTCTTTCTTTCCAAAGTTTTTTACTATAACCATTTACCTATCTCTTCTACCAGATATTATTGGCAAACATTTATTACTTATTCTTCATATTCCACTAAACTTTTTATTTCTAAATGTATACCTCATTGTTTATAGTAAATTGCTTTTCTAGGCAGAAAAGCTATTTATACTATTGTATTTTTATTATTCAACTAATAATAAAAATGCAATAGCATAAATAACATGATAATACAAGATCTAACAGCAGAGGTAAATTTCCAGGATAGTAAATAGAATTGGCAGTCAATTATAGATTGTTGATTGTAGATTAAATAGACCTACAGTATGTAAAATCTGGCATTAAACTGTAGTATTAATTAACATAAGATGTTGCTTGTTTTCTATCTAGATCATCTATCTACTTGAGGCCACATA